AAGGTTGACCAATTCAGTGCCTGTCTATTTCAGGAAGTTACCAGTGGAGTCCTAAGGTAAACAACTTTCATTTTTGTGCGAATATAGGTCTAGCCTCAAAGCAGGGAACAAATTCTTAATAACAGATGAATAAAAGTAAGGTAACACCACAATACTTTTGAGATCAATTAGTTCTAATCCTAAATCTGAAATGCTATCATGATGAAAGCCGTTTTATATGCTTATGATTAATTTATGATTTGACCTTAAATACTTCTTGTAACAGAATTAAATTTTATGCTCACTGAACCACAATATGGAACGGACAGATTTTTTGATAGGTACAACCTTGGAGGTGGTTGGACTTCTTCTGAAGTATCAGGCAGACGAATTTGACGATGGACAGTGCATCGTTTTTGCACTGAGGATGTATTTACTTTATCATCATTTGTTTCAAATTATCAGTCTTTTAGAGTAAGAAACCAATTTATTCTTCACTATCTCATTCTTGGTTCTCTATCTTGCTGATAAAAAACGTAGCGGTATGTGAAACCTATTTGCTGAAAAACATAACTAATTTTATGTTCAATTCGGTGATTTGTTCCAGTTCATCGATTGACTCTTATCGAAGCGTGGCTTCATTATTGCAATCCACGGGAAGATAAAGACTTTGCTGCTTTGGCTTCATTTATCAAAGACAGTAAGAAACTGTATCTGACATATCTATGATATTCACAAAAAAAGGTTTACAAGGGCTTTTTCTTTCAAATAATGCACATATTGAGAGAGAGTGACAATGGTGAAATGATAATGATGAAAATTAGTTGCCAATCAGCGAAGGCTGAGAAATTACATTATGCTAAATACGGATGGGATTATACGTTGAGTGAGTAATCATTGAGTTTGTCATTTGTATAGTGTACTAAAAAGTTTACTGATCCAGACTTAATCTTGTTCCATACAGTCATGTGCTCGTGTTTCTGATTGGCCTATTTCGATCCACAGCTGGGTATATATATTTCTTAGCGTAGAGTTTTCGATCTATGTTCTGACGTTTTAAACTCTGAAGAGTGTCAGACGAAAAGCTTTAGTTTACTAAATGTTTGCTTTTTTCAAAGCCATTTACAAATGAAGTTGTATTTGACGTTGTATTTAGGGAACGTGCAGCGCCTTTACCCACGCCCTTGCTCATTGTTTGCGTCGAAAGATGAAGACAAGACAGATAACCTAACAGCTGTATCAACTTTAAGTTTCTCAGCATCTTATCACTGATCTGTCGAGACTGTAATACAGTATCATGCCCTAGTCTACTGACATGATTGTCAGGGGTTTTTTAGACATTCAGGAATGAATGAGATTTGATATAGAGCATATGCAGCATGAGCGTAAAAATCTATCACAAACCTGCAAACGAGGTATCCTTCAATGAGAGACAGCGAAATATAATCACCTTTCAGCATACCAAATTTCTAAAGAGAAAACATATGATTATCACAAACTTGTCAAACTTTCCCATCATCATGACCCAACATCGTTTACACTGAGAAAACATCGCTTACACTGAGAAAACATCGTTTACACTGAGAAAGCTATGTTTGTGAAACCATTTACAACCTTCTATTCACTGAAGCGTTTCTGCAGATACGAAACTTCTTCATATAAGTTCAACTGTGTAGCAGTAATCACTGGAAAATTCTTAAAGCTCATCTCATTATGAATTCATCTTGCTTATTCGTTAATATTTAGTTAGCTTAGAACATAATTTACCTCAGGAGATTCTCGCAAAAACCAACACTGTAATCCAGCTAACATTGATAAACAACATTTTGGCCCGTGTCTAGGTCCAAATAGGTCCAATTATCGAAACCAGGACACCATCAACCGTAACCTTAACAGTTTTAGCCTCTCAACACTTTTTTGGGTAGAACTGCAGTGATTCTGTGAGATCATATTAATCAAAGACGCATGCCTGGGGAACACCCATATGTCAAGAAATTTGTAATGGAGCTGAAAGCCACCTGCTCCCTACTAAAATTTACCTGCTCCGACAATCAGATCTTTACAGTTGCTTCAACTGACATTACCATCTGAGAATTACTACATCAGCGGCTAAGCCTCAATGTATTCTAAGCATGATACATAACAGAAAGAAAGCCAGAAACATTTTCTTATGTTGGTAATGTTACTCAATACAAAGGATATTAACACAAGAATGTTGTCATTTCAATATCTTTTCGGTAATCTTCATTTCTGTAACAATTTGTTGTTCACAAGTTTAATTACATTTGAGTCTATGCCTTAGAAGGACATGTCAAATGCCAATAGATACAACAATGCTAGAGCTGCTTAAAGTGATCGACAACAAGTCGACTGAAAGTAAATAATTTTAAAACAAAAAATGAACCCCATTGAGTGAACCCCATATATGTCTGTGATGTAATGTTACTTATCTGTTGCCAAAGTTCGCCACGAAACACACAAATTTTTACAACGCAACTATTTACAAAAAATCCTTCTTTTCGATTCAATATCCCATTTTGCTGCCACGGTCCAAATCTATTTTTCTAACTTTTACCACAAGGTCTTTGCTGTTGTTCAAGATGAAGTTTTATTAAGTCGAATGTGTTGAATCTTCAGTTGAGTATAATTTTCGGTCGAGCCTGATCGTCTGTTAAGTTGGAACTTCTGTTTAAACGGAAATTCTGTTCAGTTGGATCACCGCTTATTTGGTCCTTGGGCAGGTCTTTACCTGGCAGCAAAGATAAAACGTCGGCACAAGGTGTTTTACAAGCATCTGCTATTTCGCCTGTGATGTTCAACATCAATAGTGAATGCAAAACACCTTGTTGCATAAAAGTCACTGTTTCGATTTTGTTTTGCTAGGCTCAGGTACAGCACCACTGATGCAAGGGTCCTTTGGGGAGGCGGGTATTGTGCAAAAAATCCTAAAGCCGTATGGTCTCTAAGATGTGAGAATGCCACAAGTAGGTTCCCTTGTAATGGCTCACTCATAAATTTACGACCGTTGCGTCTAATGACCGTGATTAGCTAAGTAGGTCGATGCAAGCTTTGTACTTGCTTAGGCAACAAATCAGTTTTCATTTGGCGATAGGACGCTGCCTGGGTTTGTCCCAATCGCATCCATATCAATATCTGTCAATTGCTGCTGCCTGCACAAACGATCTTTCACGTATTTACGCGTCACTGAGTTGCCGTAACAGTAAATTATTGCGTTGATCCCGGCATTTGAAAATATGAAGATATACGACAGAAGCTCTAACATGTTGAGAAGAATGCCTGGGTTAACGTTAACATAGAACCGATAATACGTCCATATGACTGAAACAACGTTATACGGTGCGTAAAGAACAAGCAGTGTCCCTAGCAGTATTCGGACCGTTTTGGTGCTTCTGAGCAATTTCTTTTGTTTGATATCCTGGCCGTTGATATCACTTGGATGCTGGTTGAAATTTCCTGAATGAACACGCAATCGTTTGGCAACTAACGTGTATACAATGAACACTAACGAAAGGCTTGAAAGGTTCGATGCATTCAAGACGATTTTAAGATAAAACGACGAAGCAAAAACAGTCGAAACGATGGATATTGAAATGGAGAGAAAGCAACCTGCAGCCAGAACGATTTTCATTCTGGAATGGTTCATGTATACGTTGTATCGATTGAGTTTGGTTACGCGGATGTATCGATCAATAGCAACGCCCATTAGCAGACAAAAAGATAAGTAAGCGAACAGTAATGTTGTGAACTGAGTTACGAGCTCGAACTTGCAGTTACGACGCCCTTCGGTTGTGATCAAATAAACTGCAGCGATGCAGGGATATCCGATAACACCAGTACATATATCCGAAACGTTCATCAAGAGGATCAGTCTGTTAGTAATTGACTTTGTCTGCTTTGTTTTCAACAGAACATGGATCAGAGTTGCATTTGCAGTGACGGTAAAAATTGCCAGTATTACCATGATAATAGCAAAAGCTAATTGGTATGTCCTTGGGATTGGCAGCGGAAAGAGTGAGGCGCAGGAATCCATTGTTTAGTCTTGCGATGTTGTCCATTAAATAGATACAAAGAAACGTAAGACCATTTGAAATATTGAACGATTTAACGATTTACATCCACGACGAAAGAACGAACGATTTCAATACACGCATGAAATTACTGGTGCCAAGATCGGTAAGAGTTGTTGCTGTTGTTATGCTTGTAACAAGTGTCTTAAAATATTCGTGGAGCAAGCTTTTAAAGCCGCGAGTTCAAATGACGTATGTTTTGAGCAATGTATGATCATGTATGTAGTCGATTCAATCAGCGTAGGATTGTTATCTTGTCAAATTTTCTGCATCATTTTGTGTGAATTTGCCCTGGCACTATTTCCGTCAAATCTCAGCGCATAGAACTTCATCAACCATGCTGAATTCTGCTGTAATGACCTTGCGAGATCAGTGTTGATTCACAGCTACGAAGGCAATTCATTTTACTAGCCTTTCTGGGCAAAACCTCTGGCCTTCCAACCATTAATATTTACAAAGACATTGCCTTATCTAATAAAGATTTCCAATATTAAGCATTTATAAGCAGCTGTCTTCCAAGTTAGGTCAAACGGGGTGATTCGTTTTCCTTGTCACGTCCAATGGGCGTTAATCTAGTAGAGCTAATTCCCGAAACACTTTCATTTTCAGCTTCTGCTTGCACCAGTGTTAGGAGCTGATTGATTTTCAGAAAAATGCAGCTGTGTTGGTATTATTAAGGCAGAAAGTGGATCAATATTTACCTATGAAATCAATTATAACATTGCAATCCATGCAAACTGCTGTAACTTGACAAGATGGTGGTTAGTTAGACAAGTTCTTATCTTTGCCTCTTCAGTCAAAAATTTGCTTGATTCCCGATTGCAAATGCAGAATATCTCAAATGCAACTCCGGTGACCTACTGCAAAACACACTACTTAATATTGATATTTGTCAATTAAGAAACCTCCCAAACCACTTTTTCAAGCCACTACCCTTAAAGCTAATCTCTTGATTTGAAATGCCTTGCTATCGGACACAAATCTTGGCTGGCCACCACCTGCTTATAAGATGATGTTATCAGAATGTTTCCAAAGTTTTCTGAAGAAATCCCCTGTCTTTCGGGTTGATTAAGAGATCAAGCATCAACCCAAAACCAAAATCAGGCTTCTCGATGGGCACTTTGAGGCTCAATTTGAGGCCAAGCATTGGCCCTAGATTTTAAACCAGCTTAAATACAGAACCACAAAACTAGCGAGAGTTTACAAATCACAATCTGTCAGCAGCTGGCGCTAGGAAATTGTGCTTAATTTGAGAGAAAGAGGATCCAAAAATTGCTTCTAGCATCGTGATAGAGGAGAATGACTTTCCCTTTGCAGTATTTCATCTGAAACCCGCATTAGATAAACCAAGCGCATTTAGCAATGAAAATATCAAACAAAGAAAAACTCGTGGGATAAATTCAAGGAAGATTTTTTCGTGGGTTGATTTCAAGGATTCACAAAAACTAGAGTCACTTTGCTGCTATCTAGCATCCTAAGCTAACACACCAATTCCTGCATGAATCTTTATTCAAAATTGTTTGGTAGGGGTCGGCGCGGCCCATGCCCCCCAAAAATGTTCAACGTTCAACGTAAAAAGACGAAAGTGACTACATGTTGACCCCGTTACAACAACGCTTCTTGACACAGCAATTTTTTTTAATCGAGGAAAGTTGTTAGAAACAGCATTGATGACTTTCGAAAAGAAATGTTTCACAATGAAAGATTACGATGATCAGCAATTTTGAAAATTTCTACTTATTGTTCAAGCTCAATTTGTACAAGATCTTCGAGCCTTTCTGGTGACGAGTATATTTACAATTTTGCACCTTACACCCTACCTGTATTTTCTCATCTGATAATTAAAATTAGAAAATAAGAATTTTACTGCACCTCCAGAAGCCTGTTCTTTAGTAATTTGATTGTCACGCACATGGCCTTAACCCTACTTTGGTTTTTCGAATGATCAGCGGTCTACACCAATGCAAAATATCATCAAGGGCTTATGAGTTGAGGAAATCACTGAACCTTTTCTTTATCTTTATCTTATCTTTATTGATAACTGTTTATCTACTTAATCTTTTCAACTTTTGAATCTTAATTATTCCGTCCTGAATATGCGCTGAACATAGTTATCTAAATCTTGTTGTCGATCAACAATTTTTCGCAGCTGGTCAAATTATTATTAAATTTGAATATTCTGTTATATTAATTGATTTGAATAACATACTTAAAATATTTAAAGATTTCATTAAAAATTGAATGACCTTCTTCAGGCACACTAGCATGCTAAAATGGTTCCGTATTTCGTGTAACTTTGAGTAAATTCTGCAGATGACACAATAGGATACTTATTATCACAAGAATAGGAGAAAATATCAAGTGTTTAAGATAGGAATATAGAATAAAAGTGCTGTAACTGGATCGTTTAATTTCTCAAAAAGACATCTGTTCTTTCTAGAGCCACTTTGCCGTTGGCCTTGCTCTTATTGAATTTCTTATCTGCCTTATAGATCGCTTTTAATAAAAGAAAATGCTTAGATCGTCCAAAAATCTCCTTGTTTTTGTGTCAAGAGACATATAAATGATGGTGATTGGGGTACCGATTCAATATACACAGCACATTTTTGAAACTTTGGCCTGGAAGTGTGTGCGATTCAAAAAGGACATTTTTTTCAAGAGTTTTTGGTACAACACTGCCTAGTTATGTTTGCGGGTTTTCATGATGTGCAAACGTGACTATGTCTTACTAATTACAATTTGTCAACTGTAGAGACATTGATAGAAAAGCCTTAACCCTGTACCCCATTTTGAAATGGGCGAGGCCAAGGTGCGCCAAATTGCAGTTTCCTTTCTTTCTTCTAATTAGTGCTACGAATCTGTTTCTCCCCAATCTTGGACCAAAAATGAAATTGTACAGGCTGTACAATCACTCTACAACATCACAAGTAAAGTAATCCACTCATTAAAATAATCAATAAACTGCTGCCCGAACTTAAAGTTAAAACACAGTATTAGTGTTGATAGAAGTTGGTAGATTGATTAAAGAAAATTCACCTGTCCTTTCCACAAGATCAACCCACTGGATGCATTTGACTTGAAATCCAGCGAGAAAAAGGAACTTGGCTGCAACATGCTGCAAAGCGGGAATACCAAGTTAGTTCTTTCTTTACGTATATAACTTCAGATTTAAGACTATTTGCTCATCGTCTAAAGATTACATTTGGATTTCCAATTTAAGAATTAGAGATCCTATCAATATTTAGGTACCACTCGGTCTCAAAATCGCAAGCCCGTACCAGAAAACTGATGCATAGCTATTCCTAATTTTGGAAAAAAATTGTCGCCTCTCAGCTGCATCTGAGAGCTTGGAAGCAACGTGTTGTAATAATTTCTTGTAAAAATTTCATCTTCTAGAAACAATTTAGTTCAAAAAACGAGACAATAGGCTTTGGGTGAAAAATTGCTTGCACTATTAAACGAAGAGAAATTGAGTGAAACAGCCTTCTATCAAATAATTTCTTTTCATTCGGTAATAAATTTATATATTCATTATTCGCAAAAATTGATTTGCAGGGGAAATTGAACCAATTATTAAAACTGCGATTAAAAAGACTCTACACTGCTTTCAGGTCAGAGTTAATTGAATTTCTACACACATGTTTGGCTGGATGTTCATCAGAGCGTCATAAGTAGATCTACACAATAAACGCACGACAAAGCCTCTTTCTGACGCCACCCGACTATCAAATACGTTCGCGTAGCTGCAAGGAGGTGGTTATGGAGTGGCAATGTAATGACGTCATAGAAATCCATTTTGGAAATTTCAAAATTAGAGCATGGTGAATTACCTTTAAATGTGCAAAATAAATTAAAATTGTAGAAAATTGGCTGAGGTATGGTTAATGAAAGACCTAAGTTTGGCTAATGAAGTACAATTGTTTTGGTCTGATTACGCATAAGAACCAAGGCTAAGTTGAGCCTTTATTCGCAGCTACATTGAGCCTTGGAAAGCAAGAAAGTGGCAAAAGGTAGAGGCGAGCTCACCGATATGTAGAAAAAAAGATCGGAAGTTGAGTATACATGAATGAAAAAACTTTTATAGCGTAAAAGATATATCTAGCAAAATAGTGGAGGTAGCTTGAATGTTGTTGAATGTGGCACATAACTGTTAAAAATATGATGATCTGAATCCTTTCAAGTGAAAAAATCATGTTGTTCCTGACCCCACAACAGTGCCCTGCAAGCCTACTTTTGCGCCTTCTCCCATTAATCATAGAAAGCAAGTATGCTCCACTTCTCCGCATTGTTTTTAGTTCAGTTAGCACATTTGGTTTTTGCTCCATTAGTTCACTGGTTAATACTTTCATCAGAATGTTTTTTATCACCGGTTGCCAACAAACCCGCCTACTCAGTGGCTTACACGAATACCTGACATTTGAAAAACCAGGAAGGAAAAAATGCCATACTCACTGTAGAAAGAAATCTTTCTCTTGAAATCGTAAGAAGCTATGGCCGTTAAATTTTGGAATGCTGATTTTGGTTCCTGAAAAGATATCAATTCAATAGCATAAGGTTACTGCATGTGTGCGAAATTTAATTCTAGTTTCTAGACAATGTTTCAATTTCAAAGCATACGATTGCAAGCATACTTTTTAGATAGACTGTCTGTTTCAAGGTGCTACTACCTAAGTCTACACGTTTACGCCTATAGATGCCTGATGATCGTACTAAGTTTGAAGCACAGGGCGGCAATTTAAAAATACTCTGCTCTACAAGCAAAGTCATAGATTTACTCATTTTTCATCGTGTTCTTTCTGACCCTTATTCTGACGTTTTATGCGCTGAGGAGTAGCAGACGAAAAACCTTTTAGCCAATATGTTGTAAAATGGTTGCTTTTCCCAAAGCCATTTTCAAGTTCTGTACCGCCAAAAAACTGTTTACTCATCTTAAAAAACAAAGATTCAGTCAACTACTTGCCTTTCTCACATGACTTCCCATTGTATCCTAAATAGCAATGGCAATATGATTCACCCTTGTACGATTCACATTTGCCATGTTTTGAGCAGGTGTTCGCGAGACATTCATGTGCCTCACAATTAGAGATATCCCTGCCTTTAACTGCTTTGTCCCATTTTAGCAACTTGTTGTTTATTGTGATCTGAAAGAATTACAATGTTAGCAGACCGATACTAATAAAGCTATTACGCTGAAAATATAACATCAATAAACGTGGCTAAGTTTGTCTGGTGTCAAGAAATCTCTGATGTATTACCCCAAACTTAAATTGCGTTCTCTCATACTTGTATTTGCTGGAATTCAAAAGCCCATCTATTTTCGATAGCAATACTCGTTTCTAAACAGGTCATGTATGTGGGAAAGTTTTATGAGTGCAATATCAGTATAAAAGCAGAGGCAACGTTTATAGACTATGATGGCTACTAACATCTTTATTTACCCTAGCAGAATAATATATTCGCTCTCTTATAAATTATGTACGATATTGTCATATTTTTGTTTAGGGTATTATCAACGCCTACATCTTTTAAGCAGCTTTGGGTATCAACATTCGCTAACAGCGCAACTCTGGAAAAAAACAGCTGGACTTTCAAAGCTGCAAAATCCCTTCTTGTCATTATTTAAAGTAGTTGCTATACATCTGAAGCAAAGAGACTGTCCTCATAAAAGCAATAATTATCAAGATCTTTGTACCTGAAGGTGTTTTACATACTATTCAGCTTTCATAGTTCAGCATACCTTTTCAATACATCCTTTGAAATGCGTGTGCGCCTCTGCTGCAATTGGGATGCTTGAAAAATCGTTTGTGCCGCCAATAAACAAAGGTTCTCTCAATTTCAGCATCTGAAATGGACCTTTCGAGTTGCCAGTAACTGGGACATCATTGTCAACAGACAGATTAGCAGTTCTACCTCTTCGCACCACCTTTATATGGTACCATTTGTTCATCACTAGTTGCCGCTGGCTCCTATAATAGCGCAAAATTACATTGAGAGACTGTAAGGTATTGCAAACAGTTAGGTTAGTAGCAAATTTTCTTAACAAAACAAGCACTGAGACTTTCCTGACCATTATAGGCGGTATAAAGTGATTGATAGTCTTCAAATTGTCCCTCGCTTTGAAGGGGGCCATGAACTCTGCAAAATGTACAACTCTGAAAAGAAAATAAGGTTAGAAATGCGCACAGGGCAGCCAAGTACAAGTGATTCCAAAAATCCCGTAATCTCCAAGGGAACCTGAGGCTTATAATGCTACAAAAGTGGATGCGAAGGGATGTTGCTCATTCATAGTTAGTTCTTCGATACAATTTCATGATTTTCATGAACAAGCTCCGTTCAAGATATTTCAGCTCCTTTCAAGTCCCAACAAGATATAAATTTCAGATTGGCCCAAGTGACTGGCCACAAATCAAATTCAAGGACTTTTGAAAATTGTTAAATACTGCTACAAATCCAGTATCTTTAAGTGGGAAACTTTGATAAAATAATGATGTTTATTCCAATTTACTGTATTTGGTCCTTTTAACTTGAACGTTATCTCCTATACACTGCCAGAACACTTATATTATACACTAAGAGCAATGCTTTGCCCCACAGCCTGAATTTTCAAATATACAATAAATGACTTGATTCTCTCGATGCTTAGCAAACACATCTCAAGCAAGTCTACGAGAACGTAACCAAACTACGTACTTTATGATCGCCTCCCCAGTTCCACAGTCATATCGCAGCTCTGCTGATCCGTTTCGCAAAGCCAAGAGAACGAAATCACCATGACCATCCCGTCTATCTCCATTGAATAATACAAGTCCATTCTTAGTCTGTGGTTTAATTACTACTTCAATATCTAGCGTAGACCAAGCACCGGATAGGAGACCTTCGAACTGCATGAAACCAGGACCGTTGAATTGTGGGACTGTTATATTGGCGGCTGAAACAGAAAAAGAGAAAATATTGAAGTCGACACATTAAAGGAAAACGATTTCCTCGTCGAGTGATTAGTAATTGTTACATGAAGACTTTGAATTAGGCTACCAGGCTACAATGAAAAACCTCAGAAATGGACCTTTCATTACCGGACAAATAAGTATGGTCGGCCCCAAGATCTTTTTGCGATCGAAGCCTTTTGGAAGTAGCTTTCAGACAAAGGACATATTTTCACGACTGACAGTATCACTCCTCCGCATGTATCCGTCGGCTGTTTTGCATATAATTGCTGCATGTCTTATGGCTCAGTAGACGCTTGTTCTGCTCATCTAGACTAAACATATTTTCTTGTAGTACAATTCCAATCTCAGCCATGAAGAATTTCGAAATAGGATGAACATTATCCTTGGTGATTATATGCAATACTCAGCTTTTTTTTAACCAAAATCTAATCATGATTATGATTATCTATAAGAAAAACAAGTATGACTTGTCTCGATTCGATTCTTTTCACATTTCCGTTGTCTTTGTAAAAACAAGGATTTGGCTTTTGTCCCAACAAGATATAAAAAAACCCCTGGCTTTCTTCTTGCTCTACACTGCTCTTAATCTAAGATGTTTTAGCTTAAGAATTGCTTGTACGGTAAAAGGACTTAAATTTTATCGAGAAAAAACCATACTTGAGTAGCATGACGATCTTAACCATTTAAACAGTTTGAGATTAACAAGATATCAGAAATCTTCAATACACTTAAAATTAACTTTTAAAATAAATAATAACAATATTATCTTTGCTGCCATTCAGACCTGTTGAGCAATTTGAGCTTGAATATCCAAGGTGACAATGACAATTTGCTGAATTCTCAATAGAAGGTACGCAGACACCGTTATTTGAGCATTTTCTCTCCAAACAAAACCCACTTGTGCAGTCACCTTTAAGGGAAAAAACAATATTTGTGTTTAGTTTCAATATAAAACCGAAGCGTGTAACTGAAGATGTATAATTTCCGATTGAAGTTGGGAGATGTTTAACATATGCAAATAAAAAAACTAATGACCAAGGACTGCAGAGGCAGGTAGACGTAAGCCCCAACCCCTAATTATTTTCAACACGCTGCTTAAAACAATAAGAAAATATTCTTGCTCTTGGCATTATGAATGTTTGGCTCTCCAAAATGTTGTAGTCCAATAACCCCCCTCAGCCCGTTATATGCCCAGGAGTCCCTGCTCATGACAAGATATTTTGTACCTAGGCACTCCCGTTTTGCGAGAAAAGCTGAAGGGACCCTGAAAACATAAACCATTATGGAAAAAAAGTCATTACGGGATGATTTTAAACTAGTGATTTCCGCATAGCGATCAACGGCTACCTATCCCAAAAAATTTCAACTGAAAAACATTTCTCAATCCTATACGTCAAATCTCCAGATAAAGGATATCGTCAAACAACGTACAATAACTTTTTTCCCACGAGTATCAGTTAGCTATTTCAAGGTTTTGTTGTATTTGTGTATGGGAAAGAATGCAAAAGTAAAGAAAATATTAGGAAAGTGACTGCTTGTATAATTCTTCGTGAACAGTGACTCGCTGAATCATTTTGCAAATATCCTGACAAATGTTTTCCAGGCTCCCATAAAACATTGGGTAAAACTACAAGTAAGTTAACTTGATATGAATCAATGGCTGATGTATGACTGCCATGGTCGAGGACTTCATTATAAGGCCTGTTTATATGAGCATAATTGTGAACAGTTTTTTGGCGGTACAGAACTTGAAAATGGCTTTGATAAAAAGCAAACATTTTAGAACATATTGGCTAAAAGCCTAAAATGACGAAAAAGCTTTTAGCCAATATATTGCACAATGTTTGCTTTTTTCAAAGTCATTTTCATGAACATAATCATCCCACCTTTCAGCCCAAAAGCTGGCAGATGGAATAAAATCATCGAATGCTTACATGTAAATTGTATCCCACACTCCAGCTTATGGCCCTTTTTTTATCCTACCCTTCAGCTTTCCTCAGATACCACGGCACGACATTATTTGTTATGGAATGCGAACGCATGCGCATAGATAACAATTTCATCCCAACTTCTAGCCAGTATTGTTTTTGTATAGGAAAATTTCATTCCAAGAGGCAGGATCCAGCAAGCTTGGAGCAGGATCTCATTTGCCACGGAAAGAGCGTTTCTCATATCCGAATTACATATCCAAACACAAGGTCGGAATTACAAAGCTTTTTATAGGGAGGCTTGATCTCGTCTCCCATCCCATGGGCTGGAAGGTGGGAAAATTTTGCTCATTTAACCAGGCCCAATACCTTTGAAATCGCGCTAGAATTAGAGCATTGAAAACTTAGGAAACATAATATGTGCTAAGATAAACAGCATTTGGTAAGAAGCAAAATAAACTAAACAGAGACATTTCAACTGCCGACAATAACAATAGCCTTGCGTGAGATGCACATGAAAAATGCCATGAAAAAAATGCTTTTATTCATATTTGTCGTCACCAAACGTTAGGGGTTTTTCACCTAAAGTTGACAACCATGAAAATCTCAAGGATTACCGTCATGTGTCCCCTTAAGGAAAGAGCCTAAGTCTTGCAACTTTTCTAGAATGGAAAATGTATGACCTAAAATGTATACATTTAAACACCCGAAGCGTGGATGAACACATGGAACTGGCACCTAGGGAATTTCCATTGATTTTCATATAGTTTTGAGATATCCGAAAGAGTCATCTTTGCTTGCGATGGTGCTGCGTCATATCAAAGATTGGTTTTGAAAAACATATTTCTGATGGCTGCAGAAAGTTGCAGTTCTAAAAGTCCGACAATCCTTTTTGCGCCTAAAATTCATTCAAAATCTTGATTGGACAGGTTTAGTTGATGTAAATCAAACAGATGCGTTTTAGTCAGCCACAGACTGTCCTAAGTCAAGGGTTTTAATTGAACATCTTACGGTTTGGGACACAGGCTATAATAGCCGGGAAAATTGAATCATTTCAACTCTGCCATAAATTCAGCTTTATTTACTCAGACAGCCGCAGCCAATTGCAGTCTTTAAAAAAAGAGCGTTCCATTTAAACATATTTGCTTGGTGACACAACACAGCACCATCGCAGCCATCCTTAAAGAAACTACCGATTCTATAGAAACCGATTCTATAGAAACCGATTCTACTGAAGCCGATTCTATCTTCTCAATTTTTCTTTTTAACTTTATTCTTCTTAGTAATTCTTTCATTTGATTCATATATTCAATGCTAGATAACAAAAGTAAAGCTATTTGTCAAAATGGGGTCAAATTACCGATATTCGATCCTTGAACTCCAGTCATGTTTCGGCTTTCAGTGATAAGGTCTTTGCCCTCAACCTTGAACTTCTTGACACAGCCAGAAAAACCTGGTGTTAAGCCAACATTCTTTAAATCGAGATGACTGTCTGTTAACCCGCCAAGATAGAATTCGTCGTATCTGTGATATCTTTGAAGACAACTTCCACTAAAGGAGGATACAAGAGAGTCATCCAGCTGCAAGTGGAATTTGCCTCCAAACTTCCTTATTGTTACGCGGTGCCATTGTGATAAAGTCAGTCTTCTTGAACAGGTTAGTGCCATGAAGCCTTTTCCGCAGTCAGCTCTGGAAAAAAAGAAAAAAAGCTTTGCAATAATGCAAATATAAATACCTTCAGGAATCGTTTTCTAAAATGCTAGAAAACCAAAGTAGAGAAATTATATTCAAAAACATAAATTTATCACCTTACAGATGCTGCAGAGGGTCGAAAAAGGGGGGGGGGTGGCTGAAACGGAAGAAAAAAGGCTTCACAGGTGGTCAACGTCTTAATTCTTTACGTTTTTTGCAAGAAGTGGAGTCCCCCAAGCCTCCCTTTTCCGCGGTGCCAGTTTGTGCAAAATTCAGCAGAAAAGTTTTGGGTTGATGTATAGTCAATAATGTAGAATTTTTAGTAACACAATGACTGTACGAGTATACTTAATGTCTAACACACATCATCATCTCATATCATAAGTATCGAAACATAGGAAAAATTATATTAATGACTTGTAATAAATGGCCTAGCTCGAGGAAACATGCGACAATATAGACATCAATTGCCAAATCATTATTATTTAAAGGCTGAATTTACTATTCGTCTAAAAATGAGCTCTATAAAAGTGGTTTTAGTAGGTTTTACCTTAACTGTACGTAGCCATCTAGGAGCAATACTGCGAGGAAACCATTGTTAAAAGCAGCATGGCCGTAAACCAAGAGCCCACTACGCTGATCTGATCTGAATTCAATGGAGAGTCTCCAATTCTTCTTTTTATGAATGACTTTACGGAACATCATGTACGAGTCTCCTTGGAACTTTGGATGTGTGAACGGTGATGCTATAAAGAATAGTAACAGTTTTGAAAATAATGGTACAAACAGCTTAAAAATAAGTAGATATTACGTAACATTAACGCAATCCTAATTTTTCTTTTGACGTAAAGAAAACGTAACTATAACGTAAAACTAACGCAGCATGCAAAGCTGACATAACTATAACGTAAAACTAACGCAGCATGCAAAGCTGACGTAACTATAACGTAAAACTAACGCAGCACTATTGTATCATTAACTGAACACTAACCTAACATTAATGTAGCTCAAACGCAACACTAACATAAGGTTAACGTAACACTAGCAAAGCAAAGGTAAGGTAATACTAACATAAAATCAACATGACGTCAACATCAGGACAGCAACAGGTGAATTGTACTTACCTCTTTCGCAGTATTTTCCACCAGTTCCTATCGGACAAAGACACCTTGCAGTGTGTTGTCCAAATGCTCTACATATTCCTCCAGACTTGCAGTTCAAAGTCTCACAAGTATGAACTTTCAAAGACTCGTCAATGTTCTTTGTTATGCTTGGGAGTAAAGATGCCAAGACTGGAGTAGCTGCATTACTTGTGAAATTCGGTCTCACAGTTTCGCTAGCAGATAAAACTCCACTTGCATTTACTACCGTAGAAATGGATGAAAGAACGAGTGTGGATGGATTCAACGTGGCTGAACCACTATCTATGCTTTTAGCGGCAGAGATCATGAAAGAGCTAGCCGATATATGAGCTGCCTTACTGAAAATTTGATTTGAGGCAAAAGATGCAGTTGAAGTTTGCAAGTATTTTGCTCCGACAGGAGATGAATGGACAACAGAACCAAGTGACTGATCTGTTCCATCTACAATCTCAGTTTGCTTCACATCTGAGTTTAACGCACTCGATGAATTCAACTCAGGTACTGCTGTGCTTCTACTTACAATGCTGTTTGGTTGGGTGAATGAAGTAAATATGGTTGGTTTTCGTGATGTTTCCTGCATTTGGTCAGTTCTGCTCGGATTTTTGTCAGGCATTTCAATAATCATCGACAGATCGTTGTTTTGCATCGTATAATTTAACTCGATATCTTTAGTCCTGTAATCAACTTTCTCTAAATAACTTGAAGTAGAAGAGAAGGTACTATTTGGTAGATTGGGGAAGGCCATAGCTTTTGTAAACTGTACCAGCTGAGGATCGAAGGATGGTGTAGCAGTTATATATTTTGTTAAAAAACTGCTTTTGCTTAATTTACCAAAATAAGAAGATACAGGTTTTGTTTTATAAACAGCCGAAGTTTCAGCAATAGTCGTTTCTGTTAAACCACCATTTGGTACTGTCTTAGAGGCTGACAACTTCTCCAAAAAGACAGGCATTGTTTGTCGAACCTTCGTAGTTGCAACATGATTGATATCCAAAAGTGAATTCACGTTTTTTGTCGTAACATTCGAGTCTTGTATAGCCATGGTTGGGTATAACTTTAGTTTCTTCGTAGTCAAAGGAGTTCTTTTAACAGTAGGTTGTGATGCCAGTGAGATATTTTTTTTCATCGAAGAACTCTTTGTTACAAACACTAAGCTATTTTTTGTATGATTAGCGATCTTTGCAGGCTCACTTACTAATACTGTGGATGCCAAAACTCTCGTTGAATTTGAAGATATTTCTGTGTACCGCAATGGCCACATCGTTGTATGTAAATTATTGTTAGTAGTCGAATTCGCTAGCACTAAATCAACTTTAGATTTACTAGTAGGTCTTTCTAATTTTGAAATGACCTTAGCAGTGGGCCTCGTTTTGAGTCCGGTCTCTGATTCATGCGTGACCTCCTCACAGTCATTGTCCTCGTCATCACACTGGGGAATAGGCCCATCTCCTGAACTTACCCCAGACCCTTCTTGAGGGCCCTCTTCCTTGATACGAAATCGAGAGAACAGCCTCGCATCAAATGGTTTAAGCCGAACCGGAGGTTTCCATCGGTTTGGCTCGTGGAAGTTTTCTTCCTGCAGCTTGTTCTTGTTTGCTTGAAAGTCTTTCCACTGTCCATTATCTGTTATCATATAAAGAAAAAATACGTTATGATTAAAATAAAAAAGAGAACCCAAGGCTATAGAAGTGGCTTGCGAGGATCCAGAAGCATCTTAATTATGATGGGAGAATGGACTGATAAAGAATTTTTGCCCGATTTCTATATATTCGTTTTGGTAACATTTATTGGAGAAAAATTTAAGGAAACCTTGTTTAAAGGTCATTGGGAGAAAAGTCTGGATTTACTGCTAAATTAATGTCTTGGTTTTCATCCGTGCATAGGTGACTGGTGACTCTTTCAAATACGTATGTGTTTGCCTTTAGAAATAGGTAACTAATAAACATGTACCGTGAAAAGATAATATACCATGAATTTAATTTTACGCATGGCTCCTTTAAAAATATTTTGGTATATCAATTAATTATAAAAAATTAATGTCAATACCTAACTTTTACAAAACCTATCTTTGTTTTAGAGCAACTTTACAGTGGCAGTCATATGCATACTTCGAACAACTTCACATCTAAATATGGAGATGCCAACTTGTGGTGAACTTAAAATGGCTTACGCAAGAAAACCGATTAGAATGCTTAGACGAAAAAAGGTATGGCCTAATACTTTTTCACAATTGTGTTACTTTGACTGCGGTTAGATTACAAATAAAAAGATGGGCTTATAGTTGCTACTTCATTATGGATTACTTGTTAGTGGTCTTCTGATTTCGTTAATGTCTTCAAAAATACGGCAGCCAGTTCACTCTGCTTGCTGCAATTGTATTCTTGAAATCTATGAGAGGTTTTAAAGCCTCGTTTTCGGTCCAAGTTGTCTTTGAAATAGAGTCGAGCGTGAAATTAACTAAAATTAGAGGCATCTAGATTCGTTCCTTAATGGAACAGTACAACGTGATACTGGATATATCAAAAAAGGCTCTAATAGTAAAAAAGATTGGCTTGAAGTCATGGAATCATGCTAATAAAGCTTCTGGATCGACAAAATAATGATCGGTAGAAAAGAAATTTAATGTTCCATTCCGAAAGCTTCAACCATGCTGCCATCGGCAGGTACATAAAAGAAGTGTGAATATAAAGTAGGCTGATTTGCTGCAACCGTTTGCGCGTACAACAAAACAGTGCAAAAGATTGATAAATCTCATACCATGTGAATGTATATCATTTCTAGTATTCTCGGAGATACAATTCACAACGTTAGTTTGGCCAGTAATTAATCTCTGCAAATCCCTACTCTTACAAGATTTATACCTAAATGCGATTATCTAAGACCTCCTTGATTATCTTAATCTCTGCTTTTGTCATAAAATTTGTTGTATCAGTGCAAGGTATCTCAAACATTGGTTAGAATACACAGCAAGGATTATCGTCACGGTTAGAAAGGCGTCTGCATCGAGAACCAAGTGTTTGTGGGATCTGATTTTCTGTTGGCTGGGTGAGCAAAAGGTTGTAAAACCCAAAGGCGCATTCCAACTTGAGGAGCTGTGAAGAGTTTGGTCTTTGTGGCAAAGTGCTCAGTTTAGTACAAAGGCTAGCTAATAAATGCTCCTCTACTGGCCCCAGTACAAGCTAGATCAGCCTCACTAAAGACATGAAGGGTAGATAAGCAATATGATAGGGAAAATAAGCACCCTTTTTTAAATTTTTTGGATTTTAACTCCCCCCACTGTGACAATCGCTCGGAAAGGGTAGTTGAAAGGACAACAGGAGGGTTAACAATGTCCTTTATTAGTGAAAAGGATCTTAGTAGTATTTTGAAGCAAATATAGAAACATAAACATTTTACCAAAATGCCATAATTACAAACTGCACACTTAGTTGCTGATTTGTTCATGTCCAGTGTTTTTAGACATTTTTTTCTTCCGTCTTCACGCCCAGACTTTGGCATTCACGATGGGACAGTGGCACAAGGGAGTTGGAAATCAACCTGAGGCCTAATTGAGGATCATAATATTGACCAATCGTCAAGCTACATTGATGTTTCAGAGAAAGTGACAAAAATGTCTCTAGGCAATGGACCAAAGATTCAAGAAAAGTGTTCACCTTCTCCTGGCCAGTAAACAGTGAAATCAGAGCGTGGCCTAGGTGTAGCAGTTTAAGTTTCATTCAATTACCTATTGTGATCTATTATCTATTCTTCAAGGTTGATTCTGTGAAGGAATATATATCCCTAACGCTATCTGAAATCCAAGTGAAAGATTGCTGCAGAGTCAACAGGAAAAGCCACTCTGATGTTTTTGCCAAAGGTAAAGGGGAGAAAGCCATCAGTGTTGAAGGGGAATCTTTCATGCTTTATAAATAGAATTCTTCTGCTTCTAAAGTAAGTCGGCTTTAGATTAAAACGACAGCCATGAATCCACTCTTCTTGATTTATCGATTGATTCTTCAGGTCATTTGAAATTGGCTCTTAACGCTCTAATTACGGATTCAATAGCATAATGAATCGTGGATAATCCTAATCTCGGGAGTCAGGAGGCTGCTTTGCACAATATCAGACGCCTCTTACCGCCCAAACATTGTCACAAAATACTTTGATAGCATTGCAATCCTTGCGAAAAGAAATGAATCTCGACTTGTATCAACACCCCCAGATTCGTTCAGAAAAATCACTTATGATGATCCAGTAGTGAGTATTGTCTCAAATCTTTTATAAATTTCAAAAGATTCTTCTATCTAGGTTATTGGTAGTGAGTGTTTCTTCCATAAATTTCAGGAACAGACCGCATAATGAATTTAAAAAGCTTTAAAACGTGTCTGTGGTTCCAAACTCAAAGACGGGACCTCACAGTGGAAGCAAGGCTCGGAGATCAGGTTCAGGGCACACATTGGACACGCGTTCTATTTTCAGTTTCAATCTTTGTTAGTCCTGATTGGCGAGGTCCCCCCAAACGACAACGACCTTTATTTCATTCTTGAACGTAGTTGCGAAGTTGGTAAATACCACAGAGAAGGAGGCGTCAAGTCCATATTTTGATGATAAGGGGGCACAGTGATCTTTCTGGCATATTGAATGCATAAGGGGTCTAGGCGGTGCAACTGATATGATAAAAAATTACGAAGTTACTGGGGGCACTGCCCTCCGGCCCCGGCAGATGCTAGACACCCAAAGAAGTAACAAAGTTTGGAATACAAAAGAAGGAATGATACGCGATGTTGTTTTAGCTTTTTTCAACGAAAGGCACGAGACTTTCAATAAGCTTTTTGTTATTGTAAGGGATGAAGGACAAGCTTAATATTTGTGCAAGGATCAAGTCAAACAGTTGCGTTAGCTTGAGCAGTTAAATAGAAAGTATCCTTGTAATCTCGATGGATTTTGTTTCAAGTCTAGATGTTTCTTTACACAGCCTCTGTCACTTAATTTGTGGGAAAGTTTGGTTAGCAAATGTAAATACACTGCAACCACTGGTGGTACGAGGAAAAACGTTTAACTTCAATGGCTACATTAAGAAATTGTCCCGCACATGATTTAATGATTCTGGTATAAGGCACTAGCAATGGGTCATTTTGCGCCAAATAAACCTAAAACTGAGACTTGCCAATCAAACCAGACTTGCATTTGCTACAAAAGAAATACTTTCCTCTCTGACATTCTACTAGAATCCAGAAAAATGATAAGGCATTTGCTTGTCACAAAGTTCGAAGGTATATTTACCGTATTTCCTCAAATTAAAAGGTCTATCTGTTAGAAATGCGTCTCTTTATTAAACGCCACGCTTAATACATGCCGCACCAAAATGGCAAAATCCGTCATCCCATCACAACATTGGATATACATCGGTTGAAAAGTCAATGCTCTCTACTACTGCATAGATTTTCGACACCCCTGAACCCCCTCCCCAATCAAACATAACTTCTCCTTGAATAGAAAGTCGAAATCGTGCATTATACTTCACAGTAGAGCAGCCAACGAGCAGGGAAATATCACTTATTATTTCCAAATAACATTTTATACGACAACGCGTGGGGGCCATGGCTTCCTAGTCTCTTCTCTCGCGCCACCCCAGGAAAAGATACTGAAAACAGGCACCGAGGAGCAGGTGTCTACCCCCTCCCTCCACTTTTAGGCAAAAACCGTAACGAATTGAGAAATAGACCGTCTCTTTTTCTGTTCAGTTTAGTCCGTCTCTTTTTCTGGTCAGTTTAGTCCGTCCCTTTTTCGGTTTTAGCCCCCCCCCCCTCTTTTCTCAACCCTCCGCAGTACCTGGAAATATGGGATCAATCATATGGAAGCACCAAGTGAAAGAGTGAAGGGCCACAAAGCCTGCGGGCTCTGCTTTCAAACAATTTTTTTGTTTCAGTGGTTGATAGCAAAGTATGTTAGTTGGGCTACGAACGAACTGTGCCAAAATTTCGATACATTCATTCACATAGGTATCAATGAATGCATGTAAAGTATGCGAGGAAATGTGGTTAATAGAACCTATTGACCTTGAAAGATAATAGAAAGGGCTGGCTTTATCTGTAAAGATGATGAAAGTCCGGAAAGGTGAACGAAGGATTTCATTAAAATATTCATTCATTTAGATTTACCGCAGTTTGCAATCTTTCTCAAACCGTTTGACGGATTACTAAACTTAAATCTTTATCTCACTCAAGTTGAGTTTAATTACTTCAAAATCTTTTGGTGAAAAAAGGGGAAAATTAATTAATGTGATGCACCCAAGCAGAAAACCTACGTACTGTCGTGTCATGTTAAAGAGGAGAGGGAAGGAGGTTTTTTCCTCCACTGCTAGGTACCTTTTCATTTGAGAATTGAAATGGCCTTTTACAAAAATACTATACCTAGGGGATGGGGGCAATTGCCCCTCCAGCCCCAGTGACTTCCAATTGTTATAAAAAATTTGCTCTTGTTCTCCTCGTTATGTAAAAAGGCTAATTTCCCCTAGTATAGGCTACAAAGGTGGTGTTCCGTCACAAGATAAAGGCCGGGTTTCAATAATTAGGGAGGGGGCTTTCCAACGACCTGCGACTTGAGGCTTAAAATCTTGTTGTAGGCTAGGAAGCATTACAATCGGGCTTTTAACCAGGCTCAAAGTATTACCATCCTTACAATCATAGACAGTTTTGAAAATTGATCCCGATCTCCATTTTAGGTAATGATCTTATTTCTGAATACCGAAATTAATTTTCTTTAAGGAAAATCGTTGAAGTATTATTGAATCTTGAAAAATAATCTGCTTCCTTTGACTTAGATTAGATGCACGAAACTTTTAAGAGAAGGGATTTCCCAAACACAAATAAGCAGGACGATTTGATTTTCAATGTCTTAATGGCTAGCTATTGCATTTCCTGTAATAGCTTTTTATTACAGCGTGGATGGAAATAATTTGTGGTGGGTTGACTCTAAGCATCTAATATAAAAACCACACTATTGCGGGAATCTTAAATACATGTGCAATTAGCAACATACGGCATACTGTCTTTTGTATTTCGGTTTAAATTTCGAAAGATATCACAAAATTCTGAAAACGTAATTTGTAATGAAACTCACCTGAAGCGAAGTCTCTGGTATGGGTCCCAGTATTCAAAGTTAAAAGAACAGTGACAAGCAAATAGAGCCTCTGGTAGCATTCCCAAGACATGTTGGATATTGTAGGCACCGATCCAGTCCAAATCTGTTTGTTGTCTACAAAAAAACATGTACTTATCTAATTTGCATGCATTGGATAGAAACGAGCATTGTAATCTTTCGTTACTCGCGTTGCAACTGTAGCTCAAATTCAAAGCAGTCCTCGGTCTCCAATTTAAAATAAGGATTAATGTTCACATAAAAACAAATTCCACAATAAAATCCGAAAGCACTTCAGACACTGTCGACGGGGCACTGAACAGCAACAGCCCGGAGTGGATCAACAGAGCTCAGCTTGACACCCCAGTGGACCTGTGGAACAACACTAACATCGCTACACTGCAAAATGCACGTTAACAGGATACGTGTTATATCACTGCTCCATATGTCACTGAGTGTGCTTTTGATTACATCTAATAACCATACAGTAAATATCCAAAGAATGCATGCCTTAATTTAAAACACGAAAATATCTTTCATCCACCGCATTCATTTTCCTCGTAGTGACAGCTGATTTGATCCGCAAAGCTCCAATAGCACTTCATTTGAGCAGAGAGCACAACAAAATGGGTAAAATTCTTCGGCTTAATTAGATACAAATCGTTAAAAGGTCGCTAATGTGATAGAAGCACTGCAAATCGCTTTAAAATGCAACACATCACAATTGACCGCAAAAATCTTTGATCTGAAAATATTGAACCCGTTAGCTGCGCGTTGTTGGTCTCACAAACGACTTTCATTTCCGCATCAGAAAGAAATCTCCTTTGCTCGCTCCGAAACAAAAACTCGGAGTTTTCATTTAATATTTCAAGTATAAATGTTTTCTATCTTCTCGTGTGTTTTATAAATATAACCACGAGTTTACAACTATGATTATAATGTTTTAGATGGGCTATCAATATGGAAGGCGGGGTCTTTGTGGCTTTCAACTCCTCTGATACAGAACGCAGTGCCTTATAACTTTGATGCAGATAATTTCTGGCAAGAATAGAAAGTTAATTGAAACGACCTTGATATCAATGGGTCGAGCCTCTGGATTCGAGAACATATAATTATGTAATAAGCCGATTTTACGAAAATGTATTCAAGCTAATTCGTTTTATCTGCTCTAAGGCGCAGTAATGCACGTGCAACTACCGAAACAAAATATTGGTGCGATTTATAAAAGGATTACCCTTTTTTGTCTTGCCTATAAAGATATAAAATACGAAATAGAGTAAGTGAAACGTGGTTTAGTAAGGGTGCGAGCTAAGAGCAGAGGCTCCACAATATTAGTGTCTAAATCGAAGAATCCTTCTTACACCGCTATTGTCAGTCAACCGGGCCGTCGAGATAGGGGGCTGGGGGCGTTACAACCCTCAGCAAATCTTGCAAATATCCGATTTACTGAGCATTATGTTCTAAGGCTGCACCTGCAGAAAACATGTCGGCAAATGTCCTTTAATACTATCCAATCTGTTGCAAATATATCCTGGGTACCAGAGCCGCAAAAATTAAAAAATAATATTAAAAAATAATGAGGGTTGCGGAGGCGAATGAGAGAGAACAGAGAAGAAATTCGAATAATGAAAATTCCTGGGTTGGGAATATACAAAAAGGAAAGGAGCAAGCAAGCTTTTTCTTTAAAAACATTGGACTCTCGCTCTCATTTCGTTTCATTTCATTTTCAATTTCAATTTTTTAGGCATGATAGGCCCTCAGTTAGAGAAAAACATATTCGCAGGGGCCATGCATTTAACTACCATATAAGTTAATAAGATATAACAAGTAAAATACATTACAATAAGATTAAAAGAAATAAGATTAGAAAAATTTACGTATGAAAAGATATTGCGACTCATGCAATGCTGGCTTTTATTAGACCTTCCTTAATTTTTTTTCGGGTTAAGTGACTTTTTGCGTCATCGTTTAAACCATTCCAGAGACTCGCCCCTATGAATGAGAAACAGCTCTGACCAACTGATGTCCTTAAAGGGCCACTCCAGCCCAAAAATTTTTTCTGAGATTTTTGCATAAATTGGTAGTTAGTCGAGAAAAAGAAGCCATCGTGAAATTTTTTTTTGAAAAGCTTAACTCGTTTTCCAGATATAGACGCTCAAAGTTGAGAATCGCCGTAAAAATACGACAAAATTTTTTTCGGAAAAAGTACCTTGTGACGTATGAAGGGACCATTGTTTCAACATTCGGCGCTATTGTTATACGTTCGCACTGAAATTCGCACGACTCGGTAGCGGCTCGGAAGAGGCGATTCATGTCGGAATCTCGGTTGTCGTTTTATTTATTTTCCTTCATTGCGATTGATGTCCAGCGGAGGCTTCCAGCCAACATGGAATAGTAATTCGATAAATTAAAGATGGAAACTTAAACCTGAATGCAAATCCTCATCTTGGCAACGCAGCAAGCTTTTCAACATGGAATGCTTCACGAATTTTCAGATGTGAATGGATTTCTGACCGAAGGCATTTCTTATCGTCGTCTCATCTCAGGGATTTCCAGGGAGGTGAATAATAATTGATGTCTTACCGCATTAGAAGAAGAATCCCATTCACAAGATGGAAGCTTTCCCGTAAGTCACAATCCATCCTAATTCAGGCACCGCGGAGCAGGGACGGGGGCTGGGGAGGGGGGCTTTAGCTCCCCACTTTTTGCAGAAATGCTAAATATTAGGTAATAAACTACCAGTAAAGCCTGTTTTTATATGGTTTTAGCCCCCCCCCACTTTGTTAGACCCCCACTTTTCTCAATGCTCCATGGTGCCTGTTATCATTTTACCATGGTTTGGAGGGGGTTTGGGGAAGGTGTGACACACACCCCCTAAGCAATGCAATTTCCCAGGCTTTGAGAAAAATTTTATCTTCTAAATGTAAGATTTCTAACAGTCAGTCTCATGAACTGTCCACCAAATGGTTAGAGGTGTCAGGTGTGGTACTAAGAAGAAAAGTACAACAGGGGCTCTCAAGCAAAATGTCATAAAATAGTACTGAAAGTAGAAGTTTGCTACTTTTTGTACCAACAAGGGGGCCTGAGCCTCCTAGCACTACATCCTTGCCAATGATCTGTGCAGTACAACCTTGCCCGAGGTACAGATGTGTAAAATTTTTGAGGGTTTCTCTCCTCAACCCTTAGTTTTCATGTTCTACCATGTTTCGTCTTCAATTTTGGAGTTCTGCCTATTTCATCATAAAACTGATGCACAATTTCAAAATTTTGCCAGATCAATATCCAAGGCAAAAGATCTACTACCCCAAAGAGAAAACATGGAATTTAAACCCTTGGTTTTGAAAACAGATGTGTCATATCCTCATTCTAATGTTTTAAAGGCAGAATTGTTTATATTAAATACACCTTTGCTATTCTAGCATTGATTCATATAAGCATGGCCTATATCATTTAAATTTATCTTTGTGTTACCTAAATATATCCTTAGATGTTATTTGCTATAGCAACAGTGGTTGCCCTTTCATCCCCAAATTTCTCTTTGATCCTTTTAAATATCTATGCTCTGAATGCCCCTGAGTGTCCAAGGTTATGATTTCTTTGATCATTTTATGTGATAAAGTGACTCTAAAGTAAATTTCACTGGTAGGTTATTATTTATCCCTGTCAACATTGTTTTTCTAGGCATACAAAAATGTAACAAACACTTTTATGGATCAATAGAAAGGATCTTGCCAAAAATGCTAGATGAAGGTTGGAGATTACATGTATCCTGTTATCTGGCTACTGGCTTTGGGGGAGTGATAACTCACCCCTTTTTCCTTGCAAGAGTTACCACAAAGATCTTGACACATTGTTCTGTTTTTGTATTAAAACTTTTACAAAGCAGACTATTTTTGAACTTATCAAAATTTTATAGATAATTTGGTCATATCTATAAAATGTTTGCAAATCCACTGCTATTATTTCAAACTAGTAACAGCATATAGGTATTTTCTATAAATTTTGCAATAGATTATTGTTTCAGCATACTTTTATAAGAACATTTCTCATGTGCAATTTAAATTACAAATTTGCTAGCTAGTTCACTGGCCTGACTGTATATATATTTATAATATATTATTCAATGTAGCTAAGTATTTAAATACAAACATGTATTCATTATTCATTGATATATAGCAGGTTAAAATTCTGACAGCTTAAAGGACCTGACAAGGCCACTGCAATAGCTTGAAGATTCAATACAAAAATTATTTTTACACAAGTATATTGAAAAAGATGAAATGTTAATATAATCTCAAATCACTTTTTTGTCTATAGATATAAGAACAAATGTATAATTTTTGAAAAAAGTTGTTTGACTCATGACTAATGGTAGGTCTTTAGTCCTGTCTTGAAAGTTTGTATACTTCCATGTCCATGTCCTTGATTGTCCTGTTTTTTTTTCTCAATAATTCATGTTGATATGAAGCTCTTTATCCTGCTGAATCTATAGTATCAATCTGGTATACTGGTTTTGTTTAGGTCTTTCCGAATAAATTGCGTGATGGCTTTTTTTGGTTATTGCACTGAATGTAGAGCTGATGAAAAAGCGCGAATCAGAAAACTGGCCTGCCAAAACAGACTGCATCAAAAGCAACGTTCCATTATCCAGACCTTGAACATCCTCATGTCTCTGTCTCGCTGGCCTACTTTGACAATTTGACTGCTCTGTCAGGCAGATTCGTGCGATATAATACTTCCATATTCGATCTGAAAATCAAGACTGACCGACGATACTTGTCTCTTTATATAGATAAAAGTCTGGCCTTCTAACAAACATACCGCTGCTAGGCCCTGTTTGCCATTTCGCAACATTCTCGTTGATCCTTTGGACAGCCGATGGTACTTGCCGCAAAAATGCAGAGGCCGAAAATGCCTGTGACGTCAATCCGAAGATCTCCGATAACACGGTTGAAAAACAATTCAACTCAATGACCAATTTACAAACGCTAATAACTACAAAACGGCTGAAGATATGAAAAAAATAATAACAGATTCGTTTTCAGGAGGTCTGATTTCATCGTATTCGGAAATAAAAATTTTGGGCTGGAGTGGCCCTTTAACATTGGAGTCCCTAAGTTGGTCAAGTTAATATTAGAATTCTGCAGTACACGAGAGGATGTTTCGCTAGCCCTAGTAAGTGAACATGATGGTTTCAAGATCAAATAACTCCCATCAAACCAACATCCTGCAACTGTTCTGGCTGCACGGTTTTCTAACTTTTGCAGTTTCGCCGGTTTCATCAACATTACCCTTGGAAGGCGTACTTATCATCGAGGCTTGTTGTGATGACCATTTTCATTGCTGATTTACACTCTTTTTTATAAGAACCAGTAAATCTACGTTCAGGCTGAATGTTCTTAATTTTTTTCGAAAATCTGAGGCTGGGTTGTTCTTAATTTTTTCTTAATCTAACAGGGTGTAAGCAGTGTGAGTGCTAGCTTTTTCGCTCTAGGGTGGTGTTCAGGCCTCATTTGCCAACGAAGTGATTGAGACAGCCTTACTTTGCTGACCTATTTGAATATTTACCGAAAGAGCACCCACACATCGCTAAATTTCCCGAATTTGAGAAAAACGTGGTTCAAAATTTTTCGAAAATCTGAGGCTGGATTGTTCTTAATTTGTTCTTAATCTAAAAGGGTGTAAGCAGTGTGAGTGCTAGCTTTTTCGCTCTAGGGTGGTGTTCAGGCCTCATTTGCCAACAAAGCGAGTGAGACAGCCGTACTTTGCTGACAAATTTGAATATTCACCGAAAGAGCACCCACACATCGCTACATTTCCCGAATTTGAGAAAAAACGTGGTTCAAAATTGCATTTTGTAGAAGCTCAGCTTCAGGTTGTTCTTAATTTGTTCTTAACTTTTGACCAATTTTGAGGCTCGTGTTTTTACAAAATTGTTCTTATAAAAAAAGAGTGTACTTGAACTCCTAGGTACTGGCTATTGTCACCCATTTTAATTTCATCGTTCTAAATTTTAAACTGTGGTTTTACAGAGACACGTGAACTTAATTTTATCAATTTACCTCGGGTTCCGATAAACATGCCTTCAGTTTTTGGAACATATAAAGATAATTTGTTTCCTTCTAGCCACAATTGCAACACAGCCAAATCAGCATTAATAGCATCATTGATCTTAGAAACAGAATTAGATGCAAAATAAATACTAGTATCAGCAAAATGTTTCTTATGAATGCATTTACATTTTCGTATCAAACCTTATTCATACCAAGACTACTGCTGCTCTTTAAAAATGACACAGTAAGCATTCCAAGAACGTTTCTTGAGATTAGTGCACCACCCCCCTACACAATGGCCGCACCGCCGCAAACTTTTTATAGGAAACCGAAATTCAAATAGCTAAAGCAAGATAAATAGAAGTTTTAAGATGACCGTTTGGGTGGGAAATAATGAGAAATTTATCAAGGTAGAGTAATAAAAATGTAAAATGCAAATACACCCTTTCTTTCTTTTTATTTTTCAGCCATATCGAACACTGCGAAAACATGAAAACTGAGCTATGGCGATAGGAGTACCTGTAATATATTTGCAACAAAAAAGGCTTTTCTTTGCACAAACCTGTAAGACTTCAGTAAGGCGAACTTGGAAATACTTACTTTTTGCTCGGTTGCCCAAAACTGTTAATTCTTCTAAGTGTTATTAAAGTATTTCTCAAAAGTTTTGGTCGAACGATTTTCGTCCTGCAAAAGGCCTAATTTTGGATACCATTTCGTAACATGTTGCAACAGAATACAATTGATAAAATATGTCAGAAGCCTTTAACTCCATCTCTTCCAGTTAATTGCAATGTTGTATAGGGAACAAATATTACAGCAATATGTTCAAAACAGCATTTCAGCTCCTCGCTGAGTGTAAATGCAAAATTTTCTGCGATAAACAGTCGTAAACAGTGACACGTAAGTGCCTGAAAGTCCTCTTTAAAAAACGGCTGTTAAGTGTCACTTTTCGCTAAATTCAAGGCCAATATGACCTTCTGGGATCACAAATACCTAAATGTGATCTTGCCAAAGTTTATTCAAATTTATCATGTGGCATTCAAAAGTAACCTGCTGCAAAAGATTTTGATTGAACTTAACAAGTTTTACAAGGGTTTCAAGGCTTCGAGATTGTCCAATTAAACATTTATTTTCTTTATATTTAAAAAAGATATCTTTATCAAAATGAAAATGAAAAATATTGCCAATGGTTTAAAGTTTTGTGGAAGAAAAATGGTATTTTCATGGAAGAAAAAGGCCCAGGTATAAAAATATGGCTTATGACCTCAGAAGACGACAAAGAAAAGAAACGAGGTAAGACTGATGAAATGGCTGTGCACAAAAAGTCGTCTTTCTGCAACAGATAAATGCTCGACCATTCGTGACGTAACATTAACCCTAACAATCCATTTACTTCTACCAGAGAAGCTATTTATAGAAGCAAAGAAGTAGAAAATTGATTCGTCTATATATTAAACAAATTGTTATGGGTTAAAGAAATATTTGGAGCAGCTTAAAATGTCTGTTTTGCGGCCTAAAAATATAATACGTACATACGTATGGCTGAAGTGGCAGCTGATTCCAAAATGACTTTATGTACTACGATGTGTGCCCGAGAAATGGTTCTTCAGAATTCGGAAGCCCTATTGAGCTTAAGTGTTCAACATTCAATGATGTGAGACAAGAATTCTTATTCGTTTCAAAACTTAAATATAATATCACAAATGCTGCGGTTCAGTTCGTTGATAATGGGTCATTTTGTGCTGGCGTGACGTTAGCAACAGGGTTTAGCAACGTACGTTTTTGCAAGAAAAAGTTAACTCACCCTTGAATGGAGTACAGTCACTAGAGTACCAGCGGCAAAATATTGGCAATGCTCTGGCATTGAATTTCTGAGGGTTGCAATGCTGAAACTTCAAATGTTTTCTAGCCACCCTACTGCGTTTAACAAGACTAAAAAAGGTTGGTCCACAGCTTCGATACCTTGATATTCATTGTCGTTCGTTGAGAATAACAAGCTAACTCTCATGTGAATTGTGTATAAACTGCGAGCAAGGGCGACACAAGATAAAAGCGTCCTGTTATTTTTTTACATAAATTCCATCTGTTTGTTTGTGTTTATTTAACCTCAGGCTTGGCTTATTCACGGACAGGCTGTAAAAGAGTGTCATCTTTAGCAGACCCGGAAGAGTTCAGTGACAGCTAAACTGCACAAGCCAGTATCATTTGGGAAATATGCTACACTGTATGTATACATTACAGTTTCAAAGGGCAATCCCCAGTCAAGCCGTGGGGAATTTTTTGAAAACAAATTAGATAAGGGGATCGTTGTAAATCTGAAGAGTGCAACGCAGTCTATTCCAATGCATTTTGGATGTGTATGTGTATTGGGACATTATTGAATTTGTGCAAAGCAAGTATCATGTTTACATGTTGTAATACCCATGTTTTTACAATGTTAGCATAAATATATGTTTAGCCAGATTCTTCAATCGACATTAGTTATACAGTATAACTAAGATAGTCCAGCTAAAGCCCCCCAATTAATCTCCTATCCGCGTTCCCATTCCCGGTGGAACGGGCTCTGCTGTCCGAAAGAAGATATGTTTTTGTGCCTGCTACACATAAATTCAACAGTTCTGAAACAGCAGGGGCCATTGTAAAATTTGTCTTTGCTGAAAGGGCCTGTAAGTAGTTTGTATACTTCGATGGAATCATCAGAGTAGTTTTCAAAGAATGACGTTTTCTTGAAAATGCTGAAAGAGGCTAAATGCTTTGGAACGAGGTTCTACCAGCATGAGTGGCCGAATTTGCTGAAACAAGGCCTAAGTAACTTTTGTAAGAGAAACTGCTTTGTCGAGGAAACAATGGGTAGTTACTGTTGCATCAAAGTTCTGTTTTTGTTTGTTTTTAAGTTGTCATTATTTCAAAGTGTGTTGTCAACTCAAATTAGAGGTGTGCCAACATCAAGTAAGTGTGTATCATTTGTTTAAAGTAAGCATCTTGTATTATTTTTTTCGCCAACGAACAAAGCATAACATAGATTTCACTAAATTGGAGACTTATATATTTAGCACTCTTCTTGGAAATGGTGATTATCCTGAACTTTTTGATTTGTTAAAGACATTTTGCTTTGAAGCTCTGATAATGTGTTTAAATATTCATGGTTCCCTTCCCTTGACCTTTGTCCATTCGTATCTTCATATTTGCCAAAAAATGGATCATAGAGTTGGAATCTTCACTTTTAAACTTTTCCGTACCACAAATCTCATGTTGTTTAGATAGTAAATAAAGCCGCGAATAACGTCGGTTTTAAAATTTAGCGTTTCCTGCATGTCCTTCACTACTCAATAGCACACGCATTCATCTTTTTTGTAGAGTTATCATTTTATGACCCATCAAAGGACTTCACTTGCTTAGATGGAACTGTCACTCTGCCATTCAGCTATGTTAATGATGATTATTGCGACTGCCCAGATGGATCCGATGAGCCAGGTAAGTCTCATTACATGATAATGGCTAGCATTATAGCAAAGCCAAACTTGATACATGGTGTGCAAATCATTTTGAAATGTATGGGAATTATTAGAGGAGAACCACTGCAGAATCCACACCGGTTAAGCCAGAGAGAAGTAGTTTAAATAAACGTGAAAGTCATTGTTATGTTTTACATATCATAGTATTATTTAAATTTGATTTTCTATTAATTTCTGGAAATTCATTGTCTAGAAGTAAATTAGAAAGTAATCAGTTGCTATTTCCATGATTTTTTTGCAACCTTTGATAGTTTTCTAAAGCAACATGCCATGTTGTTTTTATAGGGACATCTGCCTGTCCAAATGGTAGGTTTACATGCAAGAACCTTGGGCATATTCAATTAGAACTTCAATCAGGAAGAGTTAATGATGGAGTCTGTGGTGAGTATTGATTAATATTTGCTGCTACTTCATTACTTCTAATAGGTATATTAAATCAAGGAACACATCTTCTACCTATTGTGTTATACCTCAGTTTAGTGCCTGCAATTGAAATAAACTATGTACTCTTGCATATGGTGGTTTCTTTTCTGGTAAGATGAAATTGTATAGTAGGCTAGTGATTATGATTGTTTTCAAGGAAAATGGTTTAGTCAGTACTCAATTTTATAATCATATGCACAAATTTTTTATATATCAGTCAATTTTGGTAGTATTTCTTATTAGATATAGCAGTATAAAATCTTATAGCAATCCTACTAAATATTCATGTGACATTTCTCTTCACATTGTGACACTGCATCTGTTAATGTACAAAATCATGTGTCTCTGTAGTGTTCTCAATAATGCAATGAAGTTTATCTCATAAAAGCACTAAACTATTCTCATGAACAAATTAAAAGCAAAATTTTTCATCAGAGCATGCAATTCATAAATTACATGGAAAAGCAGTAATATCAGTGATATTGATGTTATAGCTTTACCATGCCATTCTTAGGCTTTGTGGTACCAATGTATTTTAAAGTGTTTGTCTTTCAAGGCACCCACAAAAGAGATTTCTATTATTTTGATCCCAACATAAATTTGTAACAGTAATGTGCTGAACAAGGCTAGCTAGACTATTAACATATTTTTGATCTAAAAATTGCTTCCTGTAATGGTAACAGTGGTGACACAGATTGAGAATGGTTTTTCATCACTCTTTACCAGCACAGAGATTTTCAATTTTTTAACATGCATATTGTGCCATTTGATTCCCTAAACGGTGAGTGTGGTAATAAAAAGACGATTCTTGGGGCAACTAGACAGTTTCTGATAAAAAATTAGAAGCTGGTACATAAAAAATGCACACCCACCTTGTCACACCTAGACGCAAGTCATGGTGTCGGCATGCAATAATGTGCTTCAAACTGAGAGACCAGTTTGTGGATTCTGACAAAATTTCATTGGAGGGCCTTATGGCACCAAAATTTCTTCATTGTTTTAAAAAAAATTTTTTCTAATTGAAAAATGGCTATCAATATATACAATCTTAGAAGCAACTGTGGGGACAAGAACCTATGCATATTCTGGGTAGCATGCATATATAGTCTAACATCTACCACCCATTTAAAGTTGGTCCATTATGAACTTTGGCAGAGCTTTGCTTGCAGAGGTATCAACATTATACTTTGGAAGTGAGTGCAAAATCTCAGAAATGCCTGTCCCCTGTTGTAGTTGAGGGAATAACTTTATTTAGTTAATGAAAAGCTTGTTTGGTCTGTATCATTGCTTTACCACTGCTTCATAATGGACATCATTAGTCATCTCCAACACCATCATTTGATAGCATGGAAAGGTTCAATTTTCATAAAACAGTTTAAAAAATAGATTTTTCTAATGCCATCTGGCCTTCGATATTGTTTTTTGCAGTATTCATGAAAGGCGCTAAACAGAATTCAAACAGTAAGACATTCCAAACTTGGGAAAAAAATAACTTTTCATAGAAATTATTGAAATAACTTGAGTCAGTAGATTCCAAGTTTGTACCTACCATAAACATTTGATTTGCAGATTGCTGCGATGGAACAGATGAGTATGACAGTGATGCCACTTGTTCTAATATTTGCCAGTAAGTTACTGCATTGTTCATTGAATTTTCTATGCTTTATTTTGTCCTAACAACTAAAGCCATTCCACTTGAAATAAATTTTTAATGTAATGAAGAGCATTTGTTTGGATTGCAGAATGGTCTGTAGTGTATTTGTGCATTGTACTTGAAAATAGCCTTTAATAATTTTTATAAACTGCTTTCTTAGTGAGCATCCTTTGTTTGGCTTTAAAAAGGTTGTGCCAGGATAAAAGTGTGCTTTTTCAATGAGCAAAAAGCTGTAAATATAGATTATTAAAAATTCAGTCTATCCAGGGTAGTAAACTAACAACAATTAATATTAGATTAAGCATCTCTTTGCAGCCAAAATAATAGGATAAAATATCGGCAAATAATATAATCTTTAACAGCTTATTGTTTTTAGATCTCCAATTGTATCTTTGCAATAATACTTTGATCTACACTATTTGCTTTAGAGACAGGTTGATAGAAACAGATTACCAAAGAGTGATGTCATCAAAAATCTATTTTTAGAATTTCTCAATTTTGGCCACAATTTTAATAGAATTGCCCACACTACGGCCAGCTTCAGCCTAATATTTTGCAAATTGGTTCCATGTATTTATTATTGTAATTTCAAATGCAGGCTTCATGTCGGTGACCCATTTAGCTGCAATGTACATATGTATGATGTGTTGTTTCAGTCAAATTGTTAAATTTCTTAGGGGCCCTTTACATGAGACCCGAAATGAACTCATGCCGGCACGAGTTCGTGCCGGCATGAAAATTCGGTGAAATTTGCTCGCCGTTACATGAAACCCGACATGAAACTGTCGAATTCTTTCGCATGATATTCACGTGACTTCGTGCTTCTCAAAAAAGAGCGGGAAAGTTTGAGAGTAAATTTTTAAAATGGCGGCAGAGGATCCAAGGAAACTTCTTTTGATCACAGTCCTAAATTATCTAGTTTTTACAACTGGTTGCATTGCGCTACAATGCCAAATGCTTCTAGCTATACAGGTATTCTTGCAACAGCAAGAAATTAAAGAAAAGTTAAGAGCTGCGGTTGAAGATAAAATCGCGCCCTTTGCCGTTACAGAGCCATAAGAAATAGATTTTTGAGGAAAAAAAGACGACAATGGAAAAAGCCTGGTCGCACAAGTGCATGGTGGTTAAATGTTTGGGATGGAATTTTAAGCGATGGAGAATGGCATGTTAACTTTAGAATGTCAAGGGAATTTTTTTCAGACTTGTTGTCAGAATTTAGGCCATACATTTCACCAAATCCAAATGCAGCATTTGTGCAACGGAGGCGATTTTATCACTGATTCCCCCCCGATATGAAAAACTGATCTGTTTACACGACACTTTCGTGCCGGCATGAAACTTCATGCCGGCACGAAAAAGCGACATGAGATTTTTGTGCCGGCATGAAAACTCATGCCGGCATGAGTTTCATTTCGGTCAACGCCATGTAATCACAATAGTAGCTCAGACCAGCACCCGACATGAAACTCGTGCCGGCATGAAAACTCGTGCCGGCATGAGTTTCGTTTCGGGTCTCATGTAAAGGGCCCCTTAGCATGTCCTGTTTTCTGGGCCAAGAGCACAGTTGGAACTATTTTTTCAGTCTCAACAGTATGCATTGTGTATCTTTATTATGAAGTCAAGTGGAATACTGTTTGTTCTTGTAGAGAAGCAGGAAAAGCTGAAAAAGAGAGACGTGAAAAAGAGAAACTTGTTTCACAGCAGGTTATCTGAAATTTGCACATTTTAGTTCTTTATCTTCCAATTGTTTGTTGTTTAGATTTTCATATTATAAGAATATCAGAAGATGACTACAAGTTTTTAAAGTCCTGATTGGTGGCATAAGCTCCTCATTTTAGTTAATATAACTTTCCTTTCTTGCTATTATAATATGTTTCAAAACAGGTCCATATAACTGTAAGGGAAGTACAACTAATTTTTATTTTTATGCTTCTAACTCTTTGACTGTCATTTGGAGAAATGTTTGATTGAGGGTGTAGAAGGCCATGTAGCCAAGTTCTGGTACCAATAGAAACTTTGCTATCAGAAGTTTTATAATATGTGTGCTGGCTTACAAGTCTGAAATAATGCAACTGATTTTTTTAATAGGTTTAATTAATGTCGAAAGACATAGAAAATGCCTGTTTTACAGAATTAGCGAATGTTCTAATTTGTATGAAAACCATGATACTATTTACCTGCTTGAGGGAGGTATTATATGCTTTTTAGGGATATGAAGTCAGAATGGAATATGCACAGAAAGGAAAAGCCAAGAAAGAATCCATTGAGGTAAAATATTTTCCACTTCCAAAGCATTTTGTGCAAGCATATTTCATGTTAACACAAAACAATCATTTTTTAACAAGGTAGGGGTGTGGAGTGGCTCAGAGGGGTTGCCAAAAAAACAAAAATACAAACATTCTAAAAACAATCCTGTTGTTATTCTTGCTTTTGTTTTTTTGTGAATTTTTTAGAGTTCCTTTTGTTTTTCCATGGCACCAGGAATATCTTTCAAAACTGCATAGAAATTTACAATTTTAACTTCCATTAAATGCAAAAACTTTACTTTCCTAAATTTTTTTTTCTTTGCAGTTGTGGGTAATTTTAAGTGCTTTTACTAATTTTTTGGGGTTTCTTGGTAGTGTAAAATTTACTCTTCTTGTTCTAGAATGAACAGAATGATCTTAAGACAAAGTTATCTGAAAACAAAGGAAAACTGGAAGAAATGAAAGGCAAGTTTAATGTTAGAAATTGTATGACATCATTTAAGATTTAAAAATAATGAAGACACACAATAAGATAAAAGCAGAAGGAAAATAATCCTACGCAGGGGAAATAATCTAATCCTGTTCATAAGAATCCAATCCTTTTTGCAAGCATATGCATGAATGTACTTGAGGCCTAACAACTTTGCTATAGGCAAGGAAACTCACTTGTTGCAAATTTTTTGTGATAAGAGCAAAGGATGTTTTTCCTCTCAGATAGAAGTTTATCAATCGCTATTTGCCACAGCAAAAGGTAGAGAAGTATATTTAAAAGGTTAACTAGTAAAGAATTTAGTGTTCATTTAGTTTCTCTATTTAAAAGACTTTGAAATGCTCCTTTTCAAAAACCCCATTTTTCGTTTTAGCTGCCAAAGAGAGAGCCGAGTCTTTTGAGAAGGAAGCTAAAGAACAACAAGACAAAGAATTCGAAGGTTAAGAGTTATTTTCAGTTCCCCTTTGCATAGAGACCGGTTTTTTGAGTTAAGCCAAATCACCTGTAATCTGTTAGGTAACTTCTCATCTTTCATTGACCATACCTCAAAAATTTTAAACAAACTTAGCTCCTTTCCATACTTGAGTGCTCTTGCGCAACCGGCATGCTTAGCAGCAGCTATCTTGAGAAATTGATTGTGTTTTTTTATTTTCATGCAGTACGATGTTCGACCATTTTTGAAAATATAGTCGCAAAGCATGCTGGTTGTGCAAGAGACTTTAAATGTATTTCAGGTTATGTGATCAAAAGTAAAAATTCTTAATTTAGATTCTACTCTGTTTTGATAACTAGTGGTATCATAGGTGCTTGCTTGTTAATAGAAAATTTTAACTTTTTAGAGCTAGAGAAATTGAGAACTGCAGAAGAGAACCTCAAGAAATCAGAAGATGCATTCTCTAAATTGGATATTGATGGGAATGGAATGTAAGTATCTTCTTCTGGTCTTTTTTACTTATAAAATTGTTTTTCAGTTCGCCATAACAGTCTTTTGTCCGGTTAATATGGAGAGTCTTGCAGAGCCTCAATCCTCCTTGCAGGGCTGATGCCCTACCTCACATAGCCCTGCCTCGTTGAAACAGCTCTTGTGAAATGAGGTACATGGTCTATCCTTAAACAAAAGGTGATGATGGCCTACCTCTTTCTATCCTTTTTGTTTCCAAAAATTGAAGCATGTTTTCAATCATAGGCAGAGTTTATCGTTTTATGAACGTTTTGCCTTTGCAATGGAAAAAAGAGAGGGAAAATTGGAAGAGAGCATTCTTTTGAAACGTCGCAAGTTCAGAGCTGGTAGTAACATGGATAAGAGTAGCCAAAGGGGGCAGCCCGGGAGGGTAGCATCCTATTGTTTCAATAGAGCCCCGTTAGTCTTTCCCAATAGAAATGAACTTCAGTTCTTCTTTTATCATTACTTTGGTATCGTGTTTAGGTACTCAACTCCAAATCAGATTTAACCTAAGCCAGCTCTTATTACGTGTTTGTTACTGCGCAGCCCTGGAAATCCATGCTGGTTGTGGTAATGCGTGTATCAAAACCTTGGAGATGGCTTTGAAAATAAAAACGTTTTAAAACATACTTAATATTTTCGTAGCTTTTGAAGCTGTTCGTCAGACAAAAAACTTTAGGTTTTTGAAATACCTTGAATTTGCAATATTACTGTATCTTAAAAAATATCCCAGTGGTGTCTTGTGAATAGAATGCCTGTACATTATTTCCGCGCGTGGACAGTACATCTCGCCGCAAAATCTTTTTTGTTTTCGATAATATGAGGCAGCTTCTTTGTATATGTACTTGGCGCTCCCCTTTGCCCTGGCCGCGATATGAAAAGCTGGAAAATCTAATCAGTTTATCGTAAACGTCTGATTTTCATCTCTTTAAAAGTGATCCTCTTTGAGAGCTACTCTCAGATGTGATTTCTTGCGCCAAAAGTGATTATCAGTGACACAGAAACTGATAATAAGAAAATTCAAATTTTTTTGTAGTTAGGTCAAATCAATATTGGTCAAATGCACCTGAAGCAGACAGGAATTTTTTATTATATTACGATTAAACTTTTGTTATGTGTGGTCTTAATCGGCAGCTTATGGATGGAAATAATTCATCTCCATGGGAGGTGTCTCCAACCAAGAAGTAAACAGAATGTCTCCCCGATTTGAATCTGAAAATGTTCTAGACATTTCGTCTTTCCATTGCATTGGTTTTCCAATTATTTAGAAAGCTGCAGTTTTTAATCGCAGATCGCCATGAATTTTAGTGCGTGATAAGAAAAATATCAATTAGTTTTATATGAAAATTTGTCTTTGTATTTAGCTTAAGGTTGATCTATATGTAGAAGCCAAGGGCCGAGATAGATTTCGAAATGTGGGGAGGGGGGCTTTGATTTTCGCCATTATGTAAAACATAGAGGTTCTCAACTTTACCTTTTGAAGATTAGTGTTTCCTTTAATATTTGTGGGGGTCTCAGGCCCCTTTGCCCCCGCTATCTCAGTCCTTGGTTGAAGCATATTATATCATTGTGGCGTAATTGGAGAATCATGGTAGTTCTGAGGGTAAGTGGGTATACGAGTTGCTTCACATAATAATGAAAAAGTTTAGAAGTGGCATGTTTTAAAATTATTCTGTTAATGCCATGAATATGTTGCAGAAGCCTTGTTCCATTCAAACCTAATTCCACAGTGCTTGTATCATTTATGGCTTGTTGTACACATTGCCAGGTAGCTGTGCACCCTATTACCCACTTCCTGTTGGCAGTTGTTATTCTAGTGCTGGCCTTGTTGTACAATTTCTTAGAAATCTAAACTGTTAATGAAAGCTACGCTTCCCTGTTGCTTGATGTACACGTTTCGATCTTTGCCAATCTTAAGCATCAAGCTATGTGACAATTTTAAGCATCGAGCACATGTCCAGGCGCTTTCAGCCCCTTCTTAGCAAAGTTCACATCTTCCAATTTGCAACCAGCTTTGGTGCAACAAAAGTCTGCTCTATTCGTTAATTTGTCATATTTACATACAGAAAAGTTCCTGTTATAGTAAATAAGAGTGCAGAAGACATTAAAAAGGAGTTTAAACTCACCTTGCCTGAAATATGCTGTAGGGCTGCAAAGATCATCTAGCGTATTGATTTGACCTTCTCTTTTTGTTTTGTGAATTTACAATGTTCTCAAGAATGCCTGCACACATTTGCGTGAAATTACTAACAATTAGGCAGTGATAGACGTGCTACTAAAGGCAATTATCTGCCAGTTATTTCTGGTCAGATGCATGGCTTAATCTCATAACACATGTCTTAATGCCTTTTGACAAAACGATCTCAATCTTGTAGTTGATTCTTGTTGGCTTTTTTATATGCAAAAGACTCATTTCCAAGGAATTCGCTTTTGACTAGACAATTAGCTATTGTACAGCGTGTACATCGAAAAACAAGGATCTGCTTGAAAACGAACTATTGTCAAAAGGCATATCAGATATGCTTTTTGCAGGCTTTTGTTATCTGCTTTGGGTTAATTTGGCTCCATTTTAGATCCCTCATATCTATTGGGATCATAAGAGAGAAGGCCATCTCAATCCAGCCGTTCCATACCATACGAATCACTACACGATTGTGATGCCTCATAAAGATCAAGTTCTAGCGAAAATAATTCTTTGACAAACAAGCTAATGGAATAAGGTCTTACGGTTAAACCTGTATTGGCAGCGATTTTTATCCCGGGGTTTGCTTTTGGTCATATTTTGTTTAAAAATTTTGGCTAATGCTTTTGAACTGGTTTTCCTATAATTGTGGACCGGTTTCGATACAGTTAATCTTTGTCTGCTTTTTTCCTTACGTTTTTTAATATATGAGAGTACATAATTTTCTAATTTAAATCCATATAAATTTCCCGGACGCTGAATTGCCACATAAATGTCCCGGACAAGCTAGTAATTTTTACTGCTGTAAATATAAAATATGTTATAAGATTGGATGATTTTTCTAGCATTTGTATGTGTGTATTTATTCTTCCATTACCTTTTATTTTGGTGAAAATCTTTCTGCCAACTCTGAAATATTTCTTAGAACCAAGCTCCATAGTTTGGATGCTTTTTGCAGCCCTCGTCTCTGGACTTAAATAATGGAGCAGTGGGGTGGTAATTCCTTAGATGTTTTCTTGGCAACCTGATTGGACAGAGGGTTTCGGAGAAATATTTCTTGTGTTCCTTGTGGTTTTTCCTTATCTCTTTCGTGTAGAAGTGTGTCCTACTTTTTGTTCCATTTTACGGTAGTCGAAAGGGAACTCTTGTGATTTCAGATTTTGATCATCTTGCTGACATATCTTTGGGCAAAGGAGTTTGGTTATTCTTATAAAAAAGGTCAAGGGTAATGTACTGAAATGCGAAGCCCTCTTAATGTGAAACATTTGGGTTCCGATAGTAGAATAATTTAGCGGTAAATTTGGTAATATAAGCAACAATTGGAACAGTAAAAAGCTGAAAATGAACCTCTCTTTTACTGAAAAAATAGGCCGACATTCGAGTCAGAGCGGGGTCTTCAGGCCACCCTTTGTACTATTCATCGACAGAAAATTAAAAGAGAGAAAGGCAGATATATAGAACGAATTAGTGCTTTGAATAGGATGTCTGATACTACGAAATTCGATTACATACTGCTCTTGATATTGAAAGCCTGTATAAATGTTGGGCATCCCGTACTGGCATTAGGGCATTTCCTACCCATCTACATACAATTTGTCCTATTTATATTGCATTAAGTTGTTTGACAGAATCTTTTTTAATCATGAAATGCTTTCTTTCAAGGGTTTCTGTCTCTGAATTCGTCTCAAGTACCTTGACTTCTGATGAGGCTACTGAAGAAAAGATTAAAGTAAGTATGCACAAGTCAATCCTTGTAAGGCTGGCTCGTAGAATCGTTCCCTGTTTATGGGGATTAAAGTTTTCGTGGTCAAAAGTAGTATTTTGTCATTTTTACTAATACAGAAGAGGGTGAATAATCGCTGCATTGTTCCCTTTGGTGGAAAATTTAGTTTTCAATTTCCTAGAGGTTCTCAAATAATTAAAATCGGTATGTAAGTCGGATCGTTTTGACCAATGTAAAAACTCGTTTAAATACCAATATATAATATTATAAAATGAAATATTTAACAATTTAAAACTTCTTCTTTTTGTCTGTTATAAAAAGTGTAGATCTTGTCAAACTGATTGCAGTATTTCTTTATTTTAGGAGAAGTTCTCGGGCGAGGAACAAATCGATAAACTCAAACTGTATGAGCTATGGCCAACTATTAACGATTTGTTTATTGAAAAGGTCAGTTTATTATGCTTTAAGTTTTGCACATTACTTATTTGTTCACCTTAATCTCTCGAACGTTTTTTTCCATCTAGAGATGATATCTAGTATTGTAGAGAGAGCTTATTGAGGATGAATTGACAATTTTAACTAAGTTATCCAAAACAGTTAAACTGAAGCGTGAAAGCAAGGATTAAAGCATTCCAATATTCAACATTTAAATATTTAGCAACAGTGGAAACTAATTTGAAGTGAAAACAACAGTCTGTATTGGCATAAGTTGATTAAATGGGCAAAAACCACAGGCAAACAATAATTATTTATTTGAAGTTATATTAAAATCATTTGTATTTTATGTATTGAAAATATTTTGTTAAAGTTAATCTAAAAACCGCTTATTTTGTCAAAGAGATCTGTAGTAGCCAATGAGGTGAATCACCTCATTGATAGTAGGTCTCTCGTCTCTGTTTACAGCGATTTACAATGCTTTTTTGTGTTTGGGCCTCGTGTCAGTATCCACGTGTCATGGAAGGTTTTGTGAACAGGCCACGAGGTGGCTTGAGTAAGTCTTCAGGCGTTTATCATGGGTGGCGACAAAAGCCGAATTATAATAGTATATCACATCCTTATTTCATTGATTTCTTTTGTAAGACAATAATTTTTTGTTATTATTTACATTTCTGTTGGTTTCATTTAAATGTCGGAACATTCCCATATACGTTGTTCAGAGTTTGTTCACCACACAGAAAGTGTTGAGATTTCAATACAGAATGACCTTTATAAACTATCTTGTCCAGCTTAAGCAGAACCAGAATATTTTTAAGCTGATGTCCAGCCACAAGTTTTGAAGCACGCTGCTAATTTTTTGTAGATTTTCATTTGACTGCTAAAATTAGTATTAACCCTTGGGATTTTCAGAAAATAGATACCGGCTTTTGCAGTCCTATTGGCCATTTATGTAGAAAGAATTTTGTTTTAGAGTTTCGATTAGATTTCTGTTAGCTTTCATCAAAAGTATTTATCTTCCATGCGCCTTAGTCTAAATGTTTTCCAAAGAGATTAGGCAACTTCGTTTCAAATTTCTGCCTAAACTTTGAATGCACAAAATTTTAGGTAGCTTCCAAATGCATGTATGTATGGCCCCTCATTAGAGGAAAAGTTTTTTAGCCCACTGAGGCATACTTTTTAAATTCAAACTCTTTGAATAGAAACTTTTTATTATTTTTCCGTCCTTTATATTTGGTTTTATGTGCTTATAGCGTATTTTATAGCGGGTTTCTTCTTCAAAATTGAGTGTTCAGAGAAACTAGAATACGGTCTACCTTGCTGCTAGATGTATCAGGCCAGGAAAAAAGCAAATTAAGTGGAAGTTAAAAATTTGCGGAAGTTGAGCTCCATCTTGTTGCATCATATTGCTATTTGTCAAAAGATTGTTAATTAGAATAGTGAAAGCTGCCAAAAACTGGCAAACGCCACCATTTAAATATTTTTTGGAAAAGGCTACAGAATGTTTTAGAGCACTATAGAACTCTCGGGTTAATTTAGCTATTAAATATTTAACCCTTTGTTACTTAATTTTTGAGTACTTTGTTTGCTGACCGGTACTACAAAAGCTTTTTGAAGTTTAAATTCGAATAATAAACTCGATTGAAATTAAAATTATGGCAGCAAGAAGAATTTGAAGTCGGCTGTCATTTGCAGGTTGGGTTAAATTTGCCGTTATTAATTGCGGCTTTTCAATGTCACTGTTTTGCTCTCATCAGAGCGGCTAATTTTCGAAGGACAGGTTAATAAACAGGAGGACCAAATCAAATTTAAAGAATTAATTTCCTCTGGACAAACGCTTTTTTATTAACATTAGCTAGCTGATTATTTTAAACGTTTAATCATGTTTTATTAATTTTCCTGTTTTTCCAATCCTTGTCTTTCACTTTATTACCTAGTTATCCCCAATTTTGACGAATTTTCAGCAGAGATAATTGTCAGTATTATTTTCGTATCTGCAATGCGGCCTTTCAGTTTAAAAGGGCATTCTTCGGTCATTCGTGTGCCTGTCTATCACAGTTGAAAACCACAATCATTGTTAGCCACTACGATGCGATAAGCTTGTTGTGGCCTACTGTTGCGGAGTAACTTTTTATATGTATTCGTTATATTTGCAATGATTTTCTGCTTGATATGCTTCTGCCTCATCCCCAGTCTCGTTATTGATTTTTGAGGATCCTAATTATTCTTTGCTTTAAGCGAATCTTCCCTTCCATGCAGCCTGTGGAAGACATTAAGAACGAACAACCGAAAGACGAACAAGCGGAAGTAAAGGAAGAGAGTGAGGCAGACGAGCGCAAGGTTACTGATTTCCCAGGAGAAGATCACGGCGAAGATGATGATCATGATGACAACGATGATGATGAGCTTGGAGAAACCACGCAGCCATCGCCGTTTCCACCTCCGTCTGAAGCAGAGGCTAAAGGAGAATCCCCAAAAGGTAATACTTAAACTAATCTATCCAACACTATCTGTTAAGCGAAACACTCAGGGAATCTATCCAACACTCTTTCCTGTAAAGTGAACTATATACTTAATTAGCGGACAGTTTGTCGATGTCTATTTATCTTATATCAATGCTTAATTTCTAGTGTCTGAGTTAATCTTTTGTATATCTTTTACCAATACAGACAAACCTGAGTACAGTGAAGAAACTAAAAGACTTATATCAAGTATGTCCTTCAATTCAATCGACATTTTATATATTTATTTCAATTATATATTTGACAATTAAAATGGATGTTTATATTAAGTTATGGCTTCCAAGACGTTGTACGGTTTCCGTCAGCAAAGTTAGACATCTCCTTTATTCATTGCCAGACTGTTTGGCTTCTTTTTGAAAATCATTTTGATGCGGACCTGACCCTTATTTGTTATCTTATAATTTTTGTTGATATTCTTCATTTTTTATTACGAATAATTTTTTGTACTGTTAGACTCGATTAAGACCCCTCTCAAATAGATCTCTCTAATTAACCTCAGGTTTTGAATAAGCCCCCTTCTTAAATAAGCCCCAACTCTTGAATAACCTTCTCCTCTTCAGTATCGAGTTTTGTATTAGTCCCTTTTTCGTATAAACCCTAGTAATGCTATGAGATTTTGAAAAAATAGCCAATTGATGACAATATTTCTTTGATGTATTTTCCATCAGGGCACCCAAACGTAGCATTTTTATCCAGCAAATCATTCATTTAGTTTTTTTTGCCAGATCTTGTTTGTTTTCTGCCAGTTTAAAATCTCCCCTCTGGCATAAACCCTTCTGGCATTTACTGTATAAGAAGATGCATTTTTCTAATAGGTTTTATAAGATGCATTTATTTATGGTACTATATCTAAAACCTGTGACATTGCCTACTTATGTAAACTTTATGCAAGAAGCATCTGAGAAGCCGAAAAGTTTTCACTCAACTTAATTTCTGTGATTCGAGACATCAGATTCGAGACAAAATTTTTGTCGTTGACTAAATCTGTTTAAAATGTTGCGTTATTTGGGTGTTAAAGATCTGCCACCCTAGAAGGACCAGTTTGCAGTAGTACTTCAAGACTAATTCTTTCGTTTTCTAGTTGCTGATCAAGCCAGGAAGGAATTTTCTGAAATCGAATCTGAGATTAGCAGCCTGGAGTCAAAAATATCGTGAGTTTACGCCAGTTAGTTGTTGTCTTGCTTCTGTTTTGCACTTAAGCGATATTTCAATATTTTATTGTGTATTAATTTTACTTCTAGTCGCTGCTTTTTGATTCTAAAGGTAAAACTCACATGTTCACATAATAATAGGCACCCTGTTTTCTTTTCGTTGTGTGTACGTCGTATTGCTATGTGTCAGTGTTGAAAAATAAGGAGACTTGTGAATGTTATGTAGTGAAAATCAGAGTCTTGAAAGCTGAAGAGAGTAGAAAAGTTGATTTGACGTTGATACGTTTCTTAGCTGATCAATGCAACCTTTGCTGAGTAGTAATGATCCGGTTTGAATGTGGTACGTGATTTTAGAGTTAAACCTGTAGTTCCAGAGATATTAATAGCTATTCCATAAAAGAGCTTAAAAATAAACAAATCAGAATAATGAATGTCATTTGAATCGAAGTATTTTACAACAATATCACCCTGGTTGATTATAATTGATAGTGATCAATATCAATCATTATTGATTATAATACAGTGTCAATAATATAATAAATTCGAGGGCGGAAATAGAAGAGGACACTACTCCGCTCCTCTGCTCCTCCGCTCCTCCGCTTCTCGTTTATTCCTGCCCTTGAATTGATATGACCCTGGTGCCCAGGATATAATGTCATTGATATTCATTGAATATCCGAAGTGATGCACATGTACACTCATAAAATTTAACAGTCCTCAAAGTCATACCTAATAATTCCCCCTGTTTTGCAAGTTGAAATCTGAACAGTGAGACATCCCCGTCACTCGATCAAGGGTAGCCTTTATCGTGAGCTTTTGTTATTTTGAAGTGTTTTTGGAAAGATCGTTTTGAAGCCTGAAAAACATCTAGTAGAAGGGCGTTTTAAAAGCTAGAGGCTTCGTGAAATAGTAAACAGCCCAAAAGTCACATTTCCCGAAAATTGGAAATTTTTCGGTATTAAGATCGCCAAAGCTTTTAGGACAAGATGTCACGTTGTTCCAAAGAGGTACTAGACGTAGCCTCGACAGGTGATTATTCGAAATTTTATTTTCCTTGTAGGCCGTTTGATGTAAATATTTTATATTCTTTCTTTTAGAAACAATGACAAGCTCCTTTCCATTGATTTTGGTCCAAACAACGAGTTCTTGGCGCTTTACGGAGAATGTTTTGAATACGACGACAGAGAGTAAGTCTGATAAAAATCGTATTTTTTTTGTTTATACATTTAAACTTTTGAAAATGGATATGTATAGGGCAAAAGCAGGGAACAAGGTCATTATTTATAAGAACTGTTCCTTTGCTGACATGTTTTGCAAGCCTTTGTGGGATCCATTTGAATCGCCTTTGTGAGTTATCAAGATCCTAAACCTCGAAATTAAAGCTAACGGAATGAAATAATGCAAGGCAGTTAGTTAGAGGTACACACCAATCTCTTCCAATCATTGATAGCAGTCATTATCAGCCGTGCCTATGGCAAAACGATCAGAAAGCTAAAAGTTAATGAATATTAATCCATTTTTATTGCCCATTCTAATTACGATTCCGAAGAAAATTAAAACTGTTATTGAGCGTAAAATATTTTTGAAAGACTCTGTTTCCGTTTGACTTGCGATCAATTTGATCCTGGGGTACGAAATGGTGATCTGTAGAGCGATACAAAATACTTTGAAATTTGATTCCAAATTTCGTGTCAAAAGCTAAAAATTATATGCATTCTATGAGCGTATAGAAGCAAATAAACGATCGAGAAGTTACACTGTACAATGTCTCGCTAGACTTTACTTTCCATTTCGGAGGAGTGCCAAAGCGGACTTTCAAGACCGTTCTCAAGTCGTTCAAATGTACAGGGCTGTCGTGGCAATCAAACTCTAGTCTGAATCAAAGATGCAAATTTTCTGACAAATTGTAGCTTACGTATTTGACATGGGTCTATTGTTATAGAAACTTTTCGCCCGAAGTTTACGATAAAATTCAGCAAATATCAACAATCCAAGAGAAGGGTTAGTTGCACCCCTTCAACTCCTCCTCTCACCCCTCCGCACACCAACGAATTCGATGACGCTAGTGCTTTGTACCTTTGTTTAGGGATTTGTCTAAAATGTCATTCGTAACAATGACTCGTTGACGATTTTTGCTATTTAGATAAAAAGACCAGCTTCATTATATCGCTCATATCCTTTGAATTTTTAGATATACATACAAGCTGTGCCCATTCAACAGCGCAACGCAGTCCTCGAAGTCAGGTGGATCTGATACTAGCTTAGGGTAAGTTAAAGCTCCGTTGCAGCCGTATTAGCGCGTTCTAGTTCTCATAACGCCTTCTCTTACTAAAATTCTTTTTATCATACACTAAAATCTTGTCAGTTCCCAGCCAGAAGGGCCAGTCATATTTCTTCGAGCTGCCATCCGAAATTCCAGTACTTTTTAATTTTCACAACGTCGTGCCATATCAGTTTGTTGTGTCGCCTGCTTCCTTGAATTATTTGTAATTTAACTACCTCTTACTCTTTTAATGCAGGTATCTTTATTCAGCTTTATGTCCACATATGTAACTTTTGTATGATTAACACTGACTCACAACTTGCAATTATCCCACTACACCGTGTCTTTACCTTTGTCGTGTGGCTATAATTGATTCCAATAATTCCGTCATATTGTATTATGATTCGATTTGAATTCAAAAGTGAGCTCAGTTACCTCATTTCGAACACAGATCTTGGGGTGAGTGGCACGGCTCTCCAGATCTCTACACCAAAATGAAATATAAAGATGGCTTGTCGTGTTGGAATGGACCAAACCGCTCCGCCGATGTAAGTTTTTTTCCTGTGCCTTTTAAGGGCATTGTGAGTCTTAGTTTTCAAATATTTGCACGTTGCTTTTGTCAAGTGAAGGTATTTGATATAATGCTGAGTAATTGACACCAACCTTCAGGTATTCAAACTTTGAATTTAATGTAAATGTTATGGTGGCGTAACGGAGGTAGCTGGGGCACTCAAAGATTTCTAGTTCGGGGTCCCTAGGTATAATACTGAGATGTCGTGCAAGTTTGGGGCCATTTAATCGTTTTGAGATACAATTTTGTTGGGGACCTCTTAAAGTCAGGGGCCTTTAGATTTTGAACTTAAAGTAATACTCTGCAGAGGATTTTAATACAATGGAATATAATAGTACTGTTAACCAGTCAGTCATAGAACGCTCGATGCCAAAGTCCTAACTGCAATTATTTAACTGCAATTGTTGTGCGCGCTTTATTTAAAGATGAAGTTCTAAATTATGAGTTAAGATTTTTTGACATAATAGAAATATTTATATAGGGTAAAACCTTTTCAAAAATTATAAATTATATTATATTAATATTATATTTTATATTAATTTTAAAATTATATTTTAAAAAATTTTCCTGGTACAATTTACTTACATTGATCGTTATTTATTCATCATATTGTACCGCACGCATTTTAGTATATTTATAAAAACTTTTCAGTGCCAAAGGCGCTGTTATCAATAAGGGCCCTGTTCTAAATAAAAGTATTTGCATGGTTAAAAATTGAAAAGTAATGAAAAGTTAGCAATGAAAAGTTTAAAATGGAAGTAATAAAGGGTAAAAATCGTTTTTAGCAGATCTGAAGTGAACTAGTTGGTGAGGAAATGTTCTTTCAATCGATGACGAGGTCTATTTTTATTTAATTTATTTCCAATCTACGATTTTGAATTTTAGATCACGGTCAGCTGTGGAGCGAAAAACGAGATAGTTTCAGTTTCGGAGCCGAATAGATGCGAATATGTAATGGAGTTCAAAACACCAGCCATTTGTAATGACCCTGCTCACGAACAGCATCAGCATGAAGAACTATAGGAAATAATTTTTAAGTATAAGAGTATTAAATTCAAAACATCCTTTTCGTTATTAGTTGTTACAAATTTTCTTGATTCTCTGTTACCTAACGATTTTCAAAGCTGGCTTGCTACTTCAATGGTCCTCTTGGAGAAAAAATCGCATCAAATGCTTTGGTGAGTGTTTCTTGTTTTAAAGCTCTTGGTATAAGTAGATGCAGGTGCAGAATCAACTGATTTTGCAAATTTTGAGCTATTTCGCAGTGTTCTTTCAGGCTGTAGGGTCAGAATTCTAAAATTCTAAAGAAGATTTTTTTGATTACGTCACTTATGGGGAAATGAAAGTCGGGTATATGACAGTGTTAATTTTAATATGCAGCAATAATTAGTTTGTGCAGTGATAAATCGCAATGGTGCAGCGATAAACCCGAATTTTGTGCAACGAAAAAACTAAAATATAAAGATTTTTGTTGAAATGGTTGATTGCAAAAACCTACCACTTGGCATGTAAAATTTGTGAGATAGCATAACAAACATTTTGTTATGCTATCTCACAAATTTTACATGCCAAGTGGTAGGTTTTTGCAATCAACCATTTAAACAAAAATCTTTATATTTTAGTTTTTCGGAATTGTTAATTGTTTTGAAGCTACAACGCTTCAAGGTTGCGATTTTCAAGTCTTTTCGTGCGAAAATCTGTGCGCGGTCTGTGAGAAATTTCAGGATTGTGTGCCGCATTAAGATTTACAAGTCGCGAAAGTGATGCGGGCGTCAGTAGTGAACACTGTATTTCAAGTGCGATAAATACCAAAAGAATCGCTTGGAAATAGTGCGATACTTGTGCTCTAAATATCACTAGCTATCTTTATTTTCTTGCGATAATTTCGAGCCCATTCAAAATAAGCCCTATTCGAAATAAATCATAAACTTTTTGAGTGCAGTTTGCACCAAGACTTCGTGCCGATCATTTACTTTGTGTGAATTATTGAGCGTGCCGAAAAAAGAATGCTTTTGCGAACAGCTATACAAATTATGAGTAAAGCCTGGTTTCCATATAGTCGTTGAGGGTCGTTGACGGTCTTTGAGGGTCATTGGTAAAACTGAAAGACCATCAACCACTTTATGGAGACATTACATTTACATTACATTTTTAATTATTTAGGCACGGTAGCCCCGTCAGTCCATTAGAGCTGCTTTTCAGGGGACCGTGACAAAACATTAATAAGTAAGAAGATAGATACTACGAAATAGGAATGGTCGTTCATAGTTAGTTTTTTATTCTTCTCTTAAAGGTGGCAAGGGGGGGGGGGTGCCTGTTTGGCATCAGGTTCAAGTTGGTTCCAAAGCTTAGGTCCACGAAAAGGAATAGCTCACTGCCCATTGTTTGTTTTCCGTAAGGGTAGCGGAAGATCGCTATCGGTATTTCTCAGTTTGTCAACATTTTGAGTCGAATTTTTTTCGAACAGGTTGGAAAGGTACTCTGAGACGAGCCCATTTAATGACTTGTACATTGTTGTAGCTGTTTCGCTTCTAATAATGTCATCTATAGTTGGCCAACCCAAACTGCGAATCAGTGGCATAGCAGGCGCATCAACTCTGCCATTATCTACTATTCTGTAGCTTTTGCAACGATTGCAGTTTAGTCACCCCACAGCACCCTCATACCGAACAACAGAACCGAAAATGGGGCTCGATGATACCCCGATACATTTTACTCAACGTGTTTTGAGGTAAAAAATTTCTGGAATATTTAAAAATCTGATTGCACGAGAAACTTTGGTACGGAGATTGTTAACGTGTTCTTCCCAATTTAAGCTTCTATCGATTATCACACCCGGATGTTTTGTTCGGTCAACATTTTCAACTTGAGAGTCACCAATAAGAAACTGTGGATGATCAACTGTTTTATCAGGAATTTTCTTAATTTTGGGCTGGGAGCCTATAATCAGAGCTTGTGTTTTTCGAACATTCAGAGAAAGTTTATTACCTTGCAACCATTGCTTCAAATCGTTCGGTACACTGTTTAGAGTTTGATTTATTTCTGCAAAGCTCGAAGATGAGTAAGAAATACTGGTGTCGTCGGCGTACATTGTCATTCTACCTTTTTCAGAGAGAACGGAAGATCATTGATATAAATCAGAAACAATCAAAGCAATTAATTGATGAAAGCCAAATAGATTATATATTTCCAGCAGATGTAGGGAATAAGCTGGAAGGTCGTTTGAGACTTCCTCTTTGGAATATGTCGGCAGAGAATCGCCATCTGTATCGCCTAGAAGAATCGTTTCCTTGTCCTCAGAGCTCAAGAAATGATTTAGAAACGTCCTCTCGTACAGTAGATTTGTCTAACAGAGTGTCTTTGAGATAAACTACAACACCACCCCCCTTACGATCACGATCACACCTTTTGAAAGTATACCCTTCGATATTCATTAAACAATCATCTATAGAATTATCAAGCTTGGTCTCATTTATTGCAAGAACGTGAATCATCAATTCATTTACGAGTAGTTCATCTATGTGCAGGGGCGGATTTAAGCAACAATGATTGGGGGGGGGGTGTTAGACACTAATTTTGGTGCCACACCCTTCAGGTCACTGGTAAATGATGGAAACGCCCATTTTTAAAATTTGGTTTTCAACTTTAAGGTAAAGATGATAAAAAGCAGTGGCGTAGCTAGGGCTGGAAGATTGATGGGGCAAATAGGCGAAAATTTTTGGTGACCAGACCCCTAAGAATTTGGGAAAACACCCATCTTGGAAATGCGTTCGGAGAAGCTATGGCATTTTTACGCGGCAATTTCCCTTCATACAATGTCATATATAGCGTTTTGTGGCTGACCATTTTCTACAACTGTCTATTTCCTTCACAATTCCACTAACTTTTATATCCTGAATTGTGTAAGGCAAGGAAGAACTACGTGTAAAAAGCGATTTTCCAAAGTTGTTATCAAATATCTAAAAATAGTACACAGTATTCGAAAGTTTTAAACCAAGTCCGTTCTCCTAGGAGTAAAATTCACGAGAAGCATTTCAGAATCCAGTTTTTTTATGGATTGAAGTTCATATTTATCTGTTGAAGGTATTCACAGACTAACGCAGTTTGATTAACACAGAGGCAATAATATGAACAACTAACTAACCTAATACAGCAATGCTCTTTTATATGTTTATTGTAATGTTCTAGAAGTTTCTAGAAAAGTATTGTTCCAGAATGTTTGAGAAAGCGGAAGTAATTATTATTGCAGAAAATAGAAATGAGCTAATACTACGAATATACTAGAATGATATGAGATTAAACTAGATTAAACTAGATTAAACTAGAATGTTCTACAGTATATTGACAGTCGGGTAAGAGTGTATATTTCCAACACTATCTTATTGGGAATGTCTCAAGAACGTGAAGGATTTTTCTTTACAAATCCTAAAACGAGGGGCAATGTTGAATATCGTTTAGAGATATAGGTCTTCTGCGAGCGAAGCGAGCAGAAAATTCTTGCAACGACGTTCTTGAAATAAGCTTAAAATACATGTCAGAGTATTCCTTCCCCACCCCCGCTACGCTACTGACAAGAAGATGAATGCTGGTAAGAAAAAAAATAAAGTAAAATCTTGGCGCTACTTTGCTACTACTGACCAAATGAATTACCAACAAATGAATTTTACCGATCTTTCCTAGTCTAGGAATGTATTTTGTGCCAGTAGCTTCTTCCTCCATTGCATCGACTTTGCACGTGTTTGCTCTTGACATAACCAAACCAGATACAAAATCTCCAATCTTTTGTGCTCTAAGCATCTGTCTTTCAAGGGCCCAGACGGCAGATATTAATTGTGCTTTTGATTTCAGGTGAATAATTTGTATCGAACGTTTAATTATTCCGAATTGCTCAATATAATTTCTGTTCTGACTGGATCATCTTTCCTATTTACCGAAGTGACAAACTTCAGAGTATGGCCTGCCTTCCTGACACTGAATTTTTCGCTGTTTTGCTTTTCAAAACTGAAATCTTCTTTATGACAGACATTTTTTTAGTAAACTGTTGTGGGAAATGGCTTCATTCTTTGCTGTTATTAAAATTAAACAAAGCAAAGTTCACGATTCACTTTTATCAAGGCTACTTTGTTGTACTCCTTCGTAAAGTTGAGCCAAGACGTTGGTCCAGGTATACCTGACTTCCAGAAACGACATGAAGTAAGGATTCTGGAAGGCGACACTCTTGTTCTACTTACATACGTTTTTACGTGCATCGCGGGTGTTGTTAAAGATATTTGATCGTAAACTTGTAGATATCGGTAGGAAGACTGCTTTATACTTGTGCCCAATGACTCGATTACCCTTTAGCTTGTTTAAGGAGATAGCAAAGAAATTATCTTTATAGGGGGTACAAACTGCGATCTCAAAAATAACCAAAGCTCAAACGCGAAAAAATTGACAGCAATTTACTCGGAGTACCAGCTTGAACAACTGATTAAATGCTACACTCGAGTAGCTGTAACAACGAATGAGCGCAATGACCAAAATTATCAGTAAAATGCTAATAGACCATTTCTCAACAACTAGCCAAAATACATATTGAAGGCAGACGTTCTAGAGTTAGGGATGGTTGACCACTATTTGGTGTACGGAATAAGAAAAGTGAATGCCTGGCGAGTTAAAAATAAAAAACAAAAGTTTTGGAGATTCGCTGTCTGAGCAGTTATGACAGGGCATTGTTTCGCAACGACCTGCAGCATAAAGATTGGGAAACCATCCTTACAACACTAGACCTCTTACGCTGATAATCCTGATAAGATGGCTACCACATTTCATGAGATCTTTGAGTCGGTTTTAGATATCCATGACCCCTGAAGAAAAGGAGGTTTAGCAATAATTCTACTACCTGGATCACCCTAGACATCAGGAAACTAATGAAAGAGAGGGAGCAGCTAAGAAAGCGACGAAAACATATCCTGAAAGGTGGATACATACAAGCACCTCCGTAACAAGTTAACGCAAAAAATTCAAGATGCAATACAATCACATTATCTTGATTTAATCGAAGAAAATAAGGGAGATCCTAAAAGAATGTGGCAGGT